GGTGTATGTATGTATATACGTCTACCTGTACGATTTCTATACCAGTGTGGCTAATTACATGCTTGACGTCATTACCTGTTATTATTAAGTTAGGTTATTGAGATGGTGCCATTGTTTTGTTAAATATGACTTGATGAGTTTGTTATGTAGGGTAATTATAACGTTGAAAGTTAGATTATAGTTTAGTGTATAATTGATATAATTACCCATTAAATAACACGAAGACATGGATAATTAAGATCATTATTTTGTCTTACGAGAGATTGAACGATTCTCACACCTAAATGTTTTATTATTTACATTGAACTTAAAACACGATTCTTATAGTTAATGATTTGAGGTTATAGATAATTGCCAGGTGAGATAACAAGGCATTACCTGTTAATTAAGACAGGTAAGGTGGTTCTGTTGAGGTGTGGTTGTTCAGTGTGTCTTGTTGTTGAGAGTTGTGGGAGGAACATGATCAATTCGGGTTTTAAAAGGGGAGTATAGGGAGGGAGTCGAATCTTGTTATGTTGACGAGAGAGACAGAGAGAGAGAGAGAGAGAGAGAGAGAGGAAGGAGGAGGAAGAAGAAAAATGTGTAGAAAAATGTTGTTCGTGGAGATGGAGGAGGAGAAGAGGGGGAAGAGGACATATATATGAAGAGGAGGAGGAGAAGGAAGAGCAGTAGGAGGAGGAAGAGGGGGAGAAGGAATATCGGGGAGCCTATTCTTTCCCCCCCCCTTTTCTCTCTTTTCCTTCCTTCCTTCCTTCCTTCCTTCCTTCCTTCCCTCTGTAATATAAGGCAGAGGAGAGGAGGAGAAGGAGGAGGCAAGTGAGAGGAGGATTATGAGGGGTGGTATTGATTATGGCTGTGTACCTCTCTCCACCACCCCTCTGTCTCCCCTGGATGTCTGGTCACAACCTCCTCAGCGCCCCCCACTTCCTCCTACAGCCCCTCCTTCATGGATTCTCTCCCGTAGACGTAATTATATTCCTTTACCCCTTCTTCCTTGTGGTATTGTTCATTTGTCTGTCTGGTTCAGGACCAATTGTCTGTCTGTCTGTCTTCGTCTGTCTGTCTGTCTGTCTCAATTCTTTCTACTCCGTATACCATTATTATCATTACCGTCATCTCTCTCTCTCTCTCTCTCTGTCTCTCTCTCTGTTCCTGTTGCGTATATACTCTTTCTTTCTCCTTTTTACTTTTTTTTTCATTCATTGCTTTCTTCTGTGGTGTTTGTTCTTCCTTCTCTCCCCCTTCCTCTTCCCTTCCTTCTCTTCCCTTTCCTCTCTTCCCCCTTCTCTCTTCCTTCTTCTTTCCCTCTTTTCCTTCTCTTCCTTTCCCCCTTTCCTCTCTTCCCTTCCCCTCTTTCCCCTTCCCTCTTCCTCCCTTTCCTTCTCTTCCCCTAATTCCTCCCTTGTTTTTTTCTCTACTTTCTCCTTCTTGCTGCCTGCGGTCTCTACATATATAATAACTTTCTATTCTCCTTCCACATTCTTCCAACATTCTCTGCTTTCTCCTCTCTTCCATCTGTCCCTGTATACGCTTTCTCTCTGTCAACTTTCTTCGCTATCATCTCTTTATAGCTTTCTCCGTGTGTGTGTGTGTGTGTGTGTGTGCTTTCTCTCTCTGTGGTTTGCTTTCTTTTCAGTTTTCTCTTTGTTATCTGTTCCTTCCCATAGTTTCTACAGACACCATTTACTGGAAAAGAAGGAAGGGGGGATAAAGGAAGGGTGAGGGAGATAAGGAAGAGGGGAAGAGAGAAAGGAAGGTGGGAGAAAAGGAAGAAGGAAAGTAGGAGAAGTTAAAGAGGAAGTAAGGAAAGAAAGGAGGGAAAGGAGAATGTAAAGGAATAGAGGAAGAAAGATCGAGGGAGGGGGAAGAAAGGAAGGAAAGAAAGACGAATAAGGAAGTAAAGAAAGAAGGAAGAGACACAGAGGAAGGAAGGAAAGAGGGAGGGGTGGGGATGTTGTCGTGACGAGAGGTAACTAACACAAGCCGTCACCTGTTCGTCACTGCTGCTTAATTACCATACTGATACCTGGCAGCTGGTGAAGGAGGAGCTCTCTCTCTCTCTCTCTCTCTCTCTAGGGCTGCTGGATAAAGTGGGGGGATGGGGAGGGAGTCAAGAATTGCAAAGACAAACTCAAAGCACGTCTGGTCATCCAATAAGCCTTGTTATCTCGAGCGGCTCTGTGTGTGTGTGTGTGTGTGTGTGTGTGTGTGTGTGTGTGTGTGTGTGTGTGTGTGTGTGTGTGTGTGTGTAAACCAATTCTTTCTCTCTCTTCCCCACCCCTTCCCCTCTCCTCCCATTGCAAGTTTTCTCAAGGAATTTCACGAACACTCAGCACAAATGGGGTGTTTGGGTGGGTGACGTGCCTGGTGGACCTAACAAGATGGTTCCACTTCGCTGACTGACTTTATATTATTTTGAGGGGTGGTAAGAATTATACTTATCATTTGTTTTGTGTTAAACCAAGACTGTGGAGGGAGGGAGGGAGGGAAGGTGGGGTGGGGCGGGAGACATCACCTTCAAGTATTATATATATAGAGATCTTGTGTAGCCATGTCCTGAAGGTGTACCTATTGTATCACCTTCAGGTAAGTCCTCTACACGCAGCACGAGTAAAGGAAACAGATGAGGGGCCCCCGTACACTTACCTGTCAGGGCGTTTACCACCTGTCCGGGCGCGTTATATTGTTTCCCATGGGGCTCCTCACTCCCAGCCACCCACTACACCTTAACTCTCTCCCTAATTACTCCGTTATTGAAGGTGGCCCAGGACAGGTGTGTGTAGCCAAGGGGGTCACCTGGATTACTCAGGTTTTTTTATAGATAATAGTTTTTGTTGTTAGATTAGTTTGTTTATTTTCTATTATATATTTACTGTATATTTTGTCATGTTTTGTGTGTTTTATCATAATTGGTCATTTATTGTACTTTTTTTTTATTATATTCTACTGTGCCTAGGATTTATTTATTTTATTTATTTATTTATTTATTTATTTATTTATTTATTTGTTTATCTTGCGCTTGTTTATGAGAGCTTCCGTGTTTATGGCGGGTTATATATGACGTAATGTGTGTTGAGGCGGAGCTGGTCATCACTTACCTCTCCCCCACCACCACGCCACACCACACAACACCTCAGCTCAACCCAGAGAGAGTGAGGGGCAGAGGCAGTATGAACCACCCTATACCCCCCCCCCTCCCCTTCCTTAACGTCTTCATCACCATTAAAGTCTCCAGTGGGCGGGAGGAAGTGTTGAGAACTGTGTTATAAATAATAGTTTATTTATTTTATATTTATGTGTATAAGTTTTTAAAATGACGCGAATTTGTCATGCTTGTGTCGTAACCCTGACTGTGGGGGTCAAGAACCACCTGTAGAAGGTTAATACAGGTTGTTGGTACAGGCGGCCGGTATACCACCACCACCTCCCGTGTGTACCAACTTTTCCTTGATCCTTCATGTATTTGCCAGACAAGTTTTTCAGACAGGTTTTGCCTGTTTGTATTTCGCCAGACCTCGTTTGTGGGTAGATGTTGGCTGTGGAGTGCAGGTGTTTTGTGGTCTCTGTATGTAATAGGTGCACGTTTTGCTTCTTTTGAGTATTTAGACCACAGCAGTTGGTGGTGGTTGGCGTGTTACCTGCTCGCCCGCGGTCACCATTAGCGGCAGTAGTGGTGACTCGTGTGGCTCAGTCCCCCAGGAAGCCACGGTGTTCACCTCCGCCATGTTTACGTGTGGGTAAATCCTTCTTCCGTCACGTTGGAGGCGGTAGCTTGATTAATCCCAGCACGGTGTTGGGCGCCTCACCTGTGTTACCTGTGACGGGTAATGAATTGCTACACCAACAGCCTTACTGGTGTTACTGGCTGCCTCATGATGGTGGGGGTGGTTACTGGGGGAGAAAGTGAGTGGTATAGTGTGAGATAAGGGCAGGTATTAGGGCCAGAGGTAAGGACAGGTATGAGGGCCAGAGGTAAGGGCAGGTATTAGGGCCAGAGGTAAGGGCAGATATAAGGGCCAGAGGTAAGGACAGGTATAAGGGCCAGAGGTAAGGGCAGGTAAGGACAGGTATAAGGGCCAGAGGTAAGGGCAGGTATGAGGGCCAGAGGTAAGCATGTTTAAAGCTGGCATGAAGTAAGTTCAGAGAATGGAGAGTTCAAGTGAAATCAAGTGACAAGAGAGAAAGCAGACAGTGAGAGTGGGACCCGGTACTGAGAGGGAGAGCGGCCAGCGAGAACGAGAAGAAGGATTGTGATAAAAACTTGAGAGAGAGAGAGAGAGAGAGAGAGAGAGAGAGAGAGAGAGAGAGAGAGAGAGAGAGAGAGAGAGAGAGAGAGAGATGGGGGGGGTATACTTTCCTCGCCTCAAACTCTAACCAGGGCTTACACTTTGTATACTCTGATCTGGATTTGTATATATACGGTATACAGTATTTCATGGCAGTAGGCTCGCGGTAGGTGGGTAAGCCGAAGTGATGGGGGAAGCTGCCAGCGCGAACCCACGAGATTTTTGTGTGTACGCTGACGCTGAACCCACCACAGGGCGAGGGTCGTGCCGCTGGCTGCTGATACTCGCCCTGATAACTGTGTAGGAGCGCTGCTAGAGAGAGAGAGAGAGAGAGAGAGAGAGAGAGAGAGAGAGAGAGAGCAGTCGCCTAACTTACTGAGGAACCAACCATCCCCTAGTTAACACCAGCCACCTCTCACTACCTAGCTACCTGTCGGGATTGGGTGGTGGTACTTCGTCAGCATCATCCCTTCCTCCCTGGGTATTGGGGAAGGAAGTTACTTATATATTTCTTAAGTCTTAACCTCAGTATAAAGATCAAATGGTGGTTATTGTTTTTACCATGTCTGTCTGTCTGTTAAATACAAAAGAGGTTAGAGCAAAACTGATGATAATGGGAAGTGGATATAGACCAAGGAAGACTTTAATTTTTATTTATTTATTTGGTTTGAGAGAGACATCCTTGGCTAACATGTATGTGTTGTGTTGTTACAGGAGGTGCAGAATCTACTAGTAAGCAACTACCGGGAATTGCAGAATGTTCTCTTCAATAAACTGGACAGTAAGTTACTCCACACTTTTCATGTATAGCGTCCACCTCCCCCCCAACCCCCTGCCTACATGTATAACGTCCCCCCCCCTGCCAGTACTAATGCTTCTCATTTATCTGGGTGAATGTAAGGGAAATTGAGCCAAGAATTGCAATAACTTTTCGTTCAATTCCATGGTTATTAATTTTAGTGTTTAGTGAGTGTGTATGGTGGGGGGCGGGGGTCCTGGGTGTGCTTATGTGTTTTGAGGGAGTCTGGTTGCATATACCTAAGTCATCATCCATCCATCTTAAAACAAACAAGCTTTAAGATATGCAGATTAGGGACCTGTTTTACATATTATTTTTTTTCTTCTTTTTCCCTCTTTAAAACTTGTTAGCATAAGAGAAATATTGAAACTTTTTAGAATAGGGAAAATGAGAAACTTTAGTCATATAATTAGTGATGGTGGAGATATTAATGAATGAGCTTAAGTGGGGGAAGATTAGGGGAAGGCAGAGACCAGGAAGGAGGGATATTATTAAAAGCCACGGTTCCTGTAGAGACATAAAATTGAGGATGGTTGGGTAAAGACAGCCTGAGTGGAGGGCCATGGTCGCCAACCCTCAGATATGATTGATGAGCAGCTCAGCAGGTATCATTAAGTCTAATTTTTTGCCATTGGTGAAGAGATGATAGTTGAGTTAAATGAGAAAATACCCACATTAAATACAGTTTACACCTGTAATTTTGAGTCTGTAAATTGGTTATTGGTGCTGTAATTACTGTAGTTGGCAGCTCTTGGGGTCTGTGTGTACAAGTCTTATCCAGTACAGTGGTGTCAGGTTAAAATAATACTGTACTCCTATGGTTTAGATTGTTTATTTAATGTGTTTTAATTGCTTTACAAGTTGGTTAGATATTATATATACTGTACAGTAGCTAAAACAACTATCTGTGCATACTTTATGGGAAACAATATGAGACCATGGATGATAAATTTTGGGTATATGAGGGCTGTCACTAGTCACACGTAAAATTTTGGAGCATATCGACCCCCACCTGCACAGATAGTTGTTTTAGCTACTGTACCTGTATAATCCCCTGAGTACTGTACAGAGATGTTGCACCTGAAGGAATTGATCATCATACTTAGTGTTAAGATATTGTACTCATGGGGCTTTCAATGTACTTTACTCAAGGGGTTAAATCCTCATATTGAAAAGTAAAAATAAATGAATGGGCTAATTAATTGGACTCATGGGGTTGCCAGTCTACTCAAGGGGTTGTTAGTCTACTCAAGGGGTTGCCAGTCTACTCAAGGGGTTGTCAGTCTACTCAAGGGGTTGTCAGTCTACTCAAGGGGTTGTCAGTCTACTCAAGGGGTTGTCAGTCTACTCAAGGGGTTGTCAGTCTACTCAAGGGGTTGCCAGTCTACTCAAAGGATTGTCAGTCTACTTAAGGTGTTATCAGTCTACTCAAGGTGTTAAGTCCTCTTATTGAAGGGTTAATGAATTGAAAATACTCATGGGGTTAGAATCTTACTTTAGGGGCTAATAAACTTCTCGTGTATAAAAGAAAAAAAATAATTTGCATTTGCAGGTAGTGGTGAGCTTGTTAAGAGTGAACTGGCGCGAGTAACCAAAGCTGTGGCCATTGACAACCTGACAGCCATTGCCACAAGCTTGTCAGTCATCAAGAAGGACCTCTGGGAAATCAAGAACACAACACTACAACTACAGGACCAGACATCAAATCTACAGAGTGGTGAGTTGTTTGTTCCTTGAGGTTATTATAACAACAGTGGAGATATCAGTCAGAGCAGAAGAGTTATACTGCGGTTGTGATTATGGTTTTAAAGTTAATAGTTCAGGTTGTACTTTTTGGCAGTGAGTTGTAGTCGTGGGTATGGTGTTAAGAGTGTAGTAACAGTAGGTGGTGTTACAGTATGGTGTTAAGATTGTAGTGACAGTAGGTGGTGTTACAGTATGGTGTTAAGATTGTAGTGACAGTAGGTGGTGTTACAGTATGGTGTTAAGATTGTAGTGACAGTAGGTGGTGTTACAGTATGGTGTTAAGATTGTAGTGACAGTAGGTGGTGTTACAGTATGGTGTTAAGATTGTAGTGACAGTAGGTGGTGTTACAGTATGGTGTTAAGATTGTAGTGACAGTAGGTGGTGTTACAGTATGGTGTTAAGATTGTAGTGACAGTAGGTGGTGTTACAGTATGGTGTTAAGATTGTAGTGACAGTAGGTGGTGTTACAGTATGGTGTTAAGATTGTAGTGACAGTAGGTGGTGTTACAGTATGGTGTTAAGATTGTAGTGACAGTAGGTGGTGTTACAGTATGGTGTTAAGATTGTAGTGACAGTAGGTGGTGTTACAGTATGATGCTAAGATTGTAGTGACAGTAGGTGGTGTTACAGTATGGTGTTAAGATTGTAGTGACAGTAGGTGGTGTTACAGTATGGTGTTAAGATTGTAGTGACAGTAGGTGGTGTTACAGTATGGTGTTAAGATTGTAGTGACAGTAGGTGGTGTTACATTATGGTGTTAAGATTGTAGTGACAGTAGGTGGTGTTACATTATGGTGCTAAGAGTGTAGAGACAGTATGTGGTGTTACAGTATGGTGCTAAGATTGTAGTGACAGTAGGTGGTGTTACATTATGGTGCTAAGAGTGTAGTGACAGTAGGTGGTGTTACATTATGGTGCTAAGAGTGTAGAGACAGTATGTGGTGTTACAGTATGGTGCTAAGATTGTAGTGACAGTAGGTGGTGTTACATTATGGTGCTAAGAGTGTAGTGACAGTAGGTGGTGTTACAGTATGGTGCTAAGATTGTAGTGACAGTAGGTGGTGTTACATTATGGTGCTAAGAGTGTAGAGACAGTATGTGGTGTTACAGTATGGTGCTAAGAGTGTAGTGACAGTAGGTGGTGTTACATTATGGTGCTAAGAGTGTAGTGACAGTAGGTGGTGTTACAGTATGGTGCTAAGAGTAAAGAATTTAATGAGACTAATAATTACTGTACTAAATATATTAGATTTTTAGTACTGTGCTAGGTAAAAAGTTTCCTTAAATATACTGTAATGCTTGTATTGTACAACATGTTGAGAATTAGATAGTTTATATTTCATTGAAGAACTAAACATGTATGATTTTTTTTATATACAAAAGTGCCACAAAATGGATAGTGCATCTAATACAGTACATTAACTTTTTTTTCAGGGCTGGGTGATGTCGCTTTCAGGCTGAGGGAGCTTCAAGAGTCATGTAAATCACTGCCTGACTGTCATGAACTCATCACAGAATACGCAGATAAGCTCAAGATAAATAATGACTTTGATCGGGTACGTGCGATGCATGAAGTGATGATGGAATTTGGTCTGGTTACTTCACTATAGGTAAACAGTTTGACTACAAGTTTGTCATGTGTCAAGAGCCTGCAATTTACTAATTCTGATGGAGTGGTTGCAAATAATAAAGAATGGACTTTGTTGAAGATACACTACTCCTTAAAGTACAGTAAATAATTTGCAATTTGCATACGAACAAATAATGCAATCCTGTGAGTAGTCACTGTGCTGAGGAAGTTTGGCAAGAGAATAGTCTTGTTGATTATAGAAACGTGTCTTCCATTAAAGGCATGGATGGGAAATTGTCACAAGTTTGAGATCAATGTTGCATCCTCTAAGCATTAAGTGAACATGGAATCACACGGAAAATAAATCAAACCTTTGGTTTACTCCATTTTTGCACAAAAGGCCTCTTGGCATACAGTTTATGTTTGTTTATTTGGTTTCAACCTACAAATTATCATTATGAAAACATGAGCCTAAAACTTGCAGTTAGCCGTGTCATTTTGTGAAATTGGCTTCAGTTTAATAAAAGTTTGAACACTAACACAATACTACTGAGTAGACAGCAGTGTGTCAAAATACTGTACTATTTTACGTGACATGGAGTCTTTCAGTAGTATTTTCTTTGGAATTAGCTGTACGTAACTGTCTAGTGCAGAGATATGCAATCCACAGCTCTTTCCATACTAACCCTGTTGAAAGTTTTGTATCATGTCATCTCCTCTCCCAGATTAAGACAGAGAATGATGTAGACTGTTGACGTTGCATATCTCTAGTCTGTTGACACTAATGAGACAAATCTTAATGATAATGTTAATTGATATGGGCTAAGGCTTTTATAACACCAGTGTGAGCTGAACTTCTGTATTAGTTTTAAATATGGATGGATGGTAATGGACAATGGACATGTCACCACCATACCTTTGTTGACATTTAGTTTTCATCCATATTATTGTAAAACATTAAATATTAATTACTCTTATCAGTTTGACTCATAGTGTAATTGTTTTGATAAATGGGAGGAAGAAGTTTAGCAGCACTGTAGAGGTTGACCAGGGTAATGGCACTAACTCGTGTGGTTCCTTCCTCACAGTATCTGGAGACCGATGTTTTGCCTCAGGTAACTTGGAAAGCATGTAATGTAACCATAATAATTACTGTATTAGACAAATGAAGAGAATGCTGCTTCTTGATACACATTATTTTATTTCAGTTTGATACTTTGATACTTTGCTTTGTGCTTGGTAAATATTTTTTATGATGCATGAACCGTGATATGTTTCGCACGATCCATTTGCATGTTGACCTTCAGAATATATATAGATAGTGTTTTCAAGCCTTTGTCTACAGTATACTACTAACCTCTCTTTTGTTATCTATAAACCCTTTTTTAATTAAAAAATAATTGAGATTTCAAAGACAAATTTTTTTTGTTAATGGTCACATAGCATGTTGGAATTTGTTACGGTATGTTTTTTTTTATGAAGAAAAACAGAAAGAGAAAGAGATGAAACTTTTTTCTTTCATTTCTCAAACTAGTATTCCTACAGTTATTGTACATAAGAAGTTACTGTATTTTTTGACATGTAGGATCTCTTCAGTTAACTCTTGTGCTCTGATAGTCACTGGAGAATTTCCACTGTGTTTGAATGCTTTACTGTTATTTGAATAATTTTTTAAGCTAATGTTCTTCAAAATGAAGAATTATGGAAAAGACCAATTTGTAACTCACCAAAATTCTTAGCTTTTTTGCCTAGACAGTACAGTATATACTGTAGCAGTAGGGATATGATGATGATGTCAGCTTCACCAGGGTCTACTGATATTCTTTTTTACCAGTAGATATATTAATGTTTTTGGAGGTTCAGGACAAGATGTTCGTGAGTCTTCCTTAGTCAGTTAAATTACAGGCTGTGTGTACAGTCAGCTTGATAGATCCATTAACAACATTTACGAAGTATTTGTTGAATGACCTTCCTGGACCTCAGTGTACTGTATCCATCAGCTGTGTGTGCGTGTGTGTACGAAGTTAGATATTATGAAGAGAGTTGCTTGAACAAGTTTGCAATATAGGAGGAAAGTAGGAAGTAACAGAAGTGATGGGAAATGGTCTAAGATAAACAAATGAAAATTGGAAAAATATGAAGACAGACAAGAGGAATCAGCAAATAAAGAGAGAGAGAAGAAGAGTACATTAGGAGCAGAACATAGATGTGGGTTTGTGAATATTGTACTGTACTGTACTATATGACAAACTAGCAAGTGTGCTGGATTGTAGACTAAACACAGGCAAGAACCAGCATTATGGGGGAATACACACATGTCTCCCATGGTCGTGCTTCAGTGAGAGATATTAATCACCTCCCGCACCACCAGAAGATGACCAGAGAGCCAGGAGACGGCCAGTTCTGCATATCAACCTAGATATTGACTTAACTTATACAGTAGTGCCTTGGATTTAATTAAGCTGTTCTGTTGCTGTTAATTAGTAAAAATGATCAAGTTATATACATATATACTTTTTTCTGGTAATAATAATAATAATAATGATAATGAAAATGACTTGTTAGCGTATAATTAAATAAAAATATAGATATGGGTTGAGAGAGACAGTTAATCAGAAGAAATAAGATGTAGGATTACATGTTATGGTGTTACGATGTTTCCTATCAACTTACTTATTATTATTTTTATTTATTTTCAGCTTCCGAATGTTGAATCAAAGCTTGACGAAGTAACCGCTCTCATAGAAAACGATATAGAGATTGTGGTGAAGCGAGGAAAGCGAGCGTTTGATTCAATCGCGACAGAGATCCAAAACAAAGTTCAAAGTTCAATACCCGAAATCAAGGAGAAGATATTAGATGCAGGTGAGGAGTTGTGGACACTTTATCCTGTTTTTATTTGTGTTTATTAGTAGTGATTGAAAGAAAAGAACTGAGTGCAAGTTTCAGTTGATTTTTTTAATTTTTCATTGTAAAAACAGTATTATTAAATTATCAAGTAATAAAAACTATCCGTGATATGTCAAAATTAAAAGCAAAATAAAATGAAATTTTTACTTTGTTCAATCTAATATACAGTATACAGTACAGTATACTGTACTGTATGAAATTATATATCTATTTTCATTACTTTTCTGTTTGTGTTGGGTGGATCAAGGAGTACAGAAACCTTCACGGGGACGAGAAATACTAGAGTAGGTTTTTTATAGTACTACAGTAAGGGACAAATAAACAGTAGTCCATAATACTCTTGTCCAGGTTTTGTCGGCAAGAGTAAGTCTGGAGAAATACTGTAATACAAACTTTGATCAGAACTGTTCACTTATCATTGAAGAAATCAGTACCTGTATTATATATTGTATTTCACTGCTTACAGGAGGTCAGCTGGAGGACGCAGCTGAGAAAATTCACCGAATACTGCAGCCAATTGATCTTAGTGAGTCTCAGAATCCTGACTCTTACCCAAGGGAATCCAATGTCTATCTGAGGAAGATAAACACATACTTAAGAATCATGCAGGATGGGATAAATGAATATGCTATGTACAGGTGGGTGACTGGTCTTTAATTATGATGCATTGTTTTCCCCTGACTAGTGTAGCTGTTGAATATTCTCCCCTTTAAGTAACTATGGCTGAAAATAGCTGATCAACACTAGAAGACTGTCATTTATAACCATAGATGATGTAGGTACTTTAGACTTAGCTGGCCATGGGATCAAACTGTTGTCTTAACCAAATTGAATTAAAAAATGCATGTGATCAGGCTTGCACTTGTGTCAGCTGTTACATCTACAGGGGGGTCCCCGGGCTACGAATGGGTTCCGTTCCTGAGGACGTTCTTAAGTTGGAAATGTACATAAGTCGGAACACATGCAACGTACATACAGTACCATACTTACAGAACAATGTTTAAAATCCCACTATATCATAGCCAAAGTCCTTATATACACCTAAAATCACTTAATTTAAGAGAATGACAAAATATAGTTTATGAAAATATAAAATAAGTCATCACGTACATAGAATACTTACTGTAAATTTAAAGCTTAACCCAGTTCGTATTGTTGGGCGTCCGTAAGATGGACGTTCGTATTGGGGACCTCTGTGAGCTCATGCTGTTTATTACGAAAGTAAATTATTTTTTTCAGATCCTGGGGCTTCATGGGCCTCTGCATATTGCTGCTAGTGATAACACTCTGCTTCACCTTGGGTGTTGTTATTGGCTGCTGTGGTCGCCGGCCTGATGGAGCCTCTTCATGCCACAAGGCTGCCGGTGCCTCTTGGCTCATGTGGTGAGTACGACGAATGTGAGACTAAGAGATAAAAAGTGAGAGGGCAGTCGTGATGGTAATAAAATAATAAATATAATTTCAACCATATCTATAATCTTATTCTCCAAATACAATGATGGTTATAACTGCCAGCCTGTAAAGGTTCTCCTCAATCTTCTTTTTATTTATTATGTCCCTTTAAATAACTGAAAGTGTTGTGGTGTGTTGAGTTGTAGGAAGGTTAGAGTGATGATTTACTGTACTACTGTAGCTTCCATGGTAAAACAATTGACAGCTAATTATTATTTTTTTCTTTATTGTATATGGTAAATTGTCTGGACATAGATGTAAGAATTTCTTTATTTATGTATACTGTACAAAGATTAGAATTTCCACTCACTTTGAAAACAGTTGTATAGTATGATGAACAAAAACTTATTTATGTTCATTCAAGAAACAAAGATACTGCTTATTATTTCTTTCTCAATCAGACTTTATTCTCCCTCTTCCAGTGGTGTTGGGTTGACATTCCTCTTCTCTGCGGTGATCATGGCGTGTACTACTGCACTGTTTGTCGTGGGCAGTGCCAGTGAGATTCTGGTGTGTGACCCACTCAGTGACCCAACACACTCTGAAGTTTTATCAGTGGCTGCTGATCTATATAACTTCAATGACTATTATCCATCTGGTGAGGCACCAAGATTGACTGAAATGATAAGGTGAGTAAATACAGTTTACTGTATTAGGTTCTTGGTTCTTATAAAGATAGTTTCTCATCCAGCCAACACTCACTTGGCAGTAATCTTAATGTTTCCTACCTGTGAATGTGGTAGTTTTCTAAAGCAGTATATATTTCCTTTTTTATCTAATAAAAATATAGATTTCAGGAAGTTTTGGGTAAATAACAGATGCACTACAGAATAAGAAAGAAGGCATAAATACACACACTAATATATATATATATATATATATATATATATATATATATATATATATATATATATATATATATATATATATATATATATATATATATATATATATATATATATATATATATATATATATACTGGAATAAACTGTTACATAATATCCATTTTGTGTGTAATACAATGTTGAGTTTTGTAACACAACAAACACATTTAATATTGTTCAAGAAATCATGCAAATAATGTCTACTGAATATGGTAAAATTCTGCAATAAACTTTTAGGAACAAAAACTACCTAGAGTATAGCATCCACAATTTTTGTAACCCTTTAACTAACTTTTTCTTTCAATTTCTTGTTTCCTGTTATAATTGGTTTTATAATATAGAGTTTATAAATAGTGTTGTAATGGAATGCCTAACATTGTTCATTATTACATTACCATATAATGAATCCTGATAACAAACAACTTTTTGTCTCCCCACAGTAAGTGTCACAAGAATCAGTCTCTCTACTCAGTGTTGAGTCTGGACCACATAGACAGCATCCTAGCAGAACTCCAGGACTATAAGAAACGACTTAATCTTGATGAAAAGGTTTGTACAGCTCACTGTAATTAATATTTAACTGGACTAAATTCTTTAATTATGAATCTTGATTGAGCTGAATGATGTACACACTGTGCCCTTCACACTCTAGTTGTGGTACATACTTCTGTAGCACATGTTCTTCAACTCCATCTTTAACCTGTATTTGCTGTACACCTTCTCCTTTCAGATTGAACAACTGATGAACGAAATTCGTGTTGATACAAATGTTGAGATCTTGTCAAGGGATGCCAAAGAACAGCTGTGGGAGCTGGCCAACTCCTCAGTTGCTGACAAGGACACATGGGACTACTATACTGATATTGTAAGGATCAGTAGATTAAGTTATCAAGCAATTTTTATGAACAGAATGACTTGCTTGTTTGTAATAAGTTATATTTTAGATTTTGTTGAGTTCTTAATATAGTTTGACATGAAGAATTACAGTGGAAATTTGTTATGGAATCACATGCATGAAAAATGGCCATAGAATGGTGATGGTGATGATATTCAATTTAATATATATGACATTGTTTTACAGTTAGAAAAGAAAGTTCTTACAATTGACTTGATGGAGTTAGCAGCCTTACTGAACCAGACAGCTGACCAGTTGCCAAATGGATATCACCAAGTGTCTTTCAAGCTTAAAAATGATGCCCTTTTCTTAGAGGTAATATTTACATCATTGAAGCTACGTACTTGTAATACTTTTATGTTGTATAAATGTTAATTTACAACTTCTGTACCTCCAACACATATTTTTTCTTTTGAAATTGATCATTAAGTAAATTACAATATTCTTTTGCTCTTCATGATTAATTGGCCATGACAATGGTCATACTAGTCTATTTATTTTTTCTTTCCTCTTTTATCAGTATTATTTAAGGCTATTTATTGTCTCCAGTACTGTAAGACTCAGAGTTACATTATGAAGTTGATAAAACCAAAAATTGCTTCTTAGTGATTAAATTACAGGACTAGTAAATCTTTCATGAGAAAGATTCATATATTTATTTTATGCACTGTCAGGGCTTGCAACGATGGGTGACATCAATTGGTTCACTGACGAAGAATCTAAAGAAAACTACTGCACGACTCAACGAGCACCTGAAATTCAACAAGACAAGCTTACGTGAAGCTATTGGAGATCTCATCAACCAAGCTGAGTTCGCACAATACTACCTTCGCGTTAATGGCTCTCGGGAAGTGACCCAGGTAAAACTCTCTCTCTCTTTCTCTCTCACTCTCTCCTCTCTTCTCTCCTCTCCTCTCAGTAAAGAACATCATTTTTCTTTCCTGGTGTGCTGACTGCCGTGTTATATATATTCTACTATGGTGTTCCAGGATGAGGAATAATACAAATGAATTAGACAAAAGAATGAGAGGATGTTTGGTCTTGGGCACCATTCAGTATAGGGGGAAGTCATAAGTGAAAAGAAAAAAAGGTAAAGAGATTTGTGACTTTTGAATCTATGATACAGATATTTTTCTTATCTTTGTCTTCAGCTTTTCTTCTTTTTTCCCCTTCTCCATTAATATGTCTGACATAGTATTATTTTCCACAATGTTTTTGTTCACAAATTATGTTGGGATTGCAGTTTGTAATATGTGCATGTTTCACAAATTATTAATATACCTTAAATACTGGTACTTTGAGTCTATCTATATTAGAGGAAAAGATGTCCAAGGTTAATCTTCTGTCATGGAAAGCAGCAAACAAGACTTCAAGCATCAAATTACCTTCACTAGCTATAGAACTTAAGCAGGATAGATCTTTGTTTAATAGACTGCTAATCATCGCAAGATTCCATGATGAATTCAATCTACAAAAGGCGAACATGTATGAATTCATTTGCTTGCCAGGATCTCTCTTCTCCCCAGATGGTTCTGTCCTTGTTTACCAAGACAAAATCAAGCTCATGGGTCTCCTTGAAGCAGCTCCAAAAAGTGAAGTGTGTACAGTACTGATGTTGAAAGCATCGCAGATCCACAAAAGGAACCATGTCATAAGACTCATCATTGATGGCACGGCAATAGTTCACGAATTGTCAACTTTGTCTGTCAAAAATGTGCAGAGTTTGCAGACCACTTCATCAACACATTATCAGCGAGGGCAAAAAGTTATGATGCTTTACACCTTGTCTTTGATCATTATGACATAGGCCACTCGCTAAAACAAAGAACAAGAAACTGGTACTATGGCAAAGAAGCAAATGCATACAGCTATGAAATAAGAGATTCAACACAGATTAAAGTCTCACTCAAGAAATTACTCAGCAACGACAAGACAAAATCATCATTGGCCACCTGCCTAGGAAACAAAGCATTGCTTCTGTTCCACTCAAGCAAAACCTCATTTGTGCTATCAACAAAGGACGGTGTTCAGTCAAATGGTGAAAATGTTGAACAGTTAAAAAGTAACCATGAGGAAGCAGATGCTCTGCTCATCATTCATGCCATATATGCATCACAGAAAGGCAGCACTCTACATATCATATCACCAGACACTGATGTATTTGTTCTAGGCATATCAAAGCAGCCTCAACTTGGAGAAAATGCAAGTATGATAACAGGAACTGTTAAGTGACAACACATTGTTTCTTTCAAATCCATATATGATACTATTGGGCCAGACATTACAGAGAGCATTTCAGGTTTTTATGCCTTCACAGGATCTGACTGCACAGGAAAATTTGCTGGCAAAGGAAAGAAAACATGTTGGAGCACTTTGATGAAATCTAACACAAAGGTCCTAAATGCATTCAAGATGCTGAGTTGACCAAATGCCCTCCAGCAGTCATATGTATGTTGGTCTAGATGAATTTGTATGTAAGCTCTACTGTCCATGAATGACTTTCACTGAACTGTCAGAACTTAGATGGCATTTTTTCAAGAAAATGTAGGCAGAGGCTGAAAAACTACCACCGACTGCAGCAACTCAAAAGTATCATATATTGAGAGCAAGGTATCAAGCCCTTTTGTGGTCTTTTGATGCAGACAGTGAGATGCTTTTCACCATTGGAGCATGGCTGGAAGATTGAAAATGACTGTTTCATATCAGTAATATCAGACCTGTCACCAGCTCCAGAAGCTATCACAGAGCTTGTTAAGTGTGGATGTTGCATCAGCAAATGTGGGTCATTGTTCATGCAGAATGAGTAACATGGCATGCACTGAGATGTGTAACTGTCAGCAAATGATGAAAAATGTCGAAACAAGACGAAGGAATTTGTGTTTTACACAGAAGAATCTGATGATGAGGACTGAAGCAATGTCATAAATAATAGCTTATGACTTGTATACACATGATGTATAATACAGTACTATAAATTAATAATAAATATAAAATGGATGTTCTAAGCTTGTCAGATAATGGTATCATGTACAGTAAATGTTTAATTTCTAGTATTTGTCTTAAGCAGTCATTTTTACTTACTGCATTCTCTTCTTTGCCAGGGACAGGATGGCATATATGAGCAGCCGTGTTTGTAACACTTAAGATATTATAACAGTATTCATAATATATTATGTTAAATTGTGATCGTATAATGCAACATTTTCATATGTTATTAATCATGTTTTAAGTTACTTAGGAATTAATGGTACAGTATTACATTTGTGGTTGATTACTCCACTCTTTGATAAAACTTTTTTGATGGCATAAAATTTATAATAAACCGTTGAGAAAAAATGACACCATAGTTTTTCTTATTCTACATGTTATAAGGATTAATATGATGTATGGTGTCAAAAATTAACATGGAATGTTTACAGGATTACATAAGCTCATATACTATGTATGCTACTTCTATATTTATCACTTTTATTTCATCATCATATTTCCAGATATCTTGTCTTTAATTTTTCTCACGATTTACACTTTCTTACAGCTTGTAGCCAGATTCTCAGAAGATTTTCTGGCAGACGTAGACGAATATGTGTGGCACGTGGAATTAGCGGTGGAAAATGACGTTGGTCGGTGTGGACCCGTGTCAACAATATACAATGCCTCCACATCTGCAGTGTGCAAAGACATCATGTATCCTTTTGTGAGTAGCTCTCATGTGTTATCACCATGTTTTTGTAATGACATTTTTATATACACCCTGTACTTATATACAGTACACTGGAGATGATGGGACCAAGGTTCTTACAATTTCATTAATTTTTCTAACTTACCGAAGACCAGTTAAAGATTTATCCTTTAAGTCTGAATAAAATTTCTTGGCATGATGAAAAAATTACCTAAAATTTTCAAAATCTTGTTATGATAGATATAGACATTATTTTCTAACATAATGTCCAAACGTCTCATGGAAAATATAATTCAATTTGTCACCCTAATTACCTGCCTCCATTAATTTTTCAAAGCTGATTTTGGTGAATTTCTGTTAGTCCGGATGAGCATAATAAAGTACAGTACTACTTAAAACACATATGTACAGTATTCAATTCTGAGAGAAAATGTTTTGGCCCATAGCTTTGATTTTTTTTCAAAAGTGTCAACATAGGGGAAGCTTAACCTGCTGCTTAAGGACCTGGTGTGAAAAGGATGGTAACTTGTCTTTGTGACTCGTGGAGAATATTCTTTTCATTTTAGTACTCTAATTACTGGCCTCCCATAATTTTGTTTTTTTAGAATTCAGAATGTACTGGTAATGTATGGAATTAATTAATGATGGCTGAACAGCATTTAGCCTTGTTCTTACTCTCTATGTCTTGTTGTATGACTGATTGAAAATAATCACTTCATAATTTTCCTTCAGAATGGCTTTTGGGCGAGTGTGGGCTGGGTGTTCTTCTTCTTCCTGCCGGCGATGGTTCTGGCTGTTCAGTTATCGTCTTTGTACCGGAAGACTGAACCATATCCAGGACCTCTCAATGAATCGTAAGTTAATTGACCATTGGCCTTGTTTTGGTATAAGCATCCTTGGTTTGTTGCCTGTATGGGGTCAAGACTTTGCAGCATCCTTGATATTAATCACAGTAATTACAGTGCTAGTGTTTGATGATCAGTAAAGCTACTAACCCAGACTTTCTGCAACTGTCTCATTTTTATAAAGAGCGGATAACATTAATTAAAATTCCATTTAGTCATTTTTTGTGCTGTAAATTTATGTAAAAAACTGAAGAAAAAAATCAAGGGTGTATCATAACTCCATTGTTAACAGTATATTTGTGGCTGTTTAAAAAGAAATAAATTTTATTTTATTTTAAGAAACATGTAGAATAGGCATTATTCCCTGCAAAAATTGATACCTTTTTATATTAGTAATTGTTGGATTTGTTTTTCGATGTAACATCCAAGACAGACATAGTAATCACAACATGAATATCCTGACATTTTCTGGTTGTGGATTGGATTAAATTAGTAATGGCTACATCTTAGGAGTGAGACCGCCAAGCATGTCCCCACCCAGAGCGGTGACACTGGGTTGATTTATGAGTAACAGCATGTGTGAGTGAAATAGACACAAGACAATGTGATGTAATGATTACTTCTAAATTAAGAACCCATTTTAATTCCAAAGTGTGGGACAGTATATATCAAGTGCCACTAAAAAAGCTCAGGCTCTCAATTGGCTCACCATGTCAATATTGTTATTATTAGCCACTCGGTATCTGTATTTTTCTGATTAAATAAACTATTTCAATATCAGTATCAATATCAAAGTTCAGAACTAGTACTTAATTGAAGATTATAATTTGAATTTACATAATAACAAATATGAAAATCATCCAGATTTTAAGGCCCTTCAAAGATTATATAACTATACAGTATAGTATATTATATGTAGGTACAGTATTGAGAAAGTCATGCTACCACACCAAAACATTAATAACGATATGTTGTTGACTTTACTGTTTAGATGAGGTGCCTCGCTTCTCTGCCACTCTTGTGTAAGGTGGATCTAGGGTTGTAGAAATCACCAAAAAATTACACTATAGTGAAGATTGAGACAAGATGAGTGTAGAGTGACAGGAAATGGTTAAAAATGAATAGAAATACCCACACGTATATACTGTACACTGTGACCATATTATAGAAGGTAACAAGTGATTTTAAGAAAGAACTAATGAATATTGGCTAAAGTTCTGTTGGGTTTACATTCATGTCTTTGGAAATTCACTGATATTTAAATTACAAATCTGTCACATAGATACAAGGTATGAGCTATTAAAGATTTTCATGCTATTAGTAGATCTGCCAGTTATCGGTACTGATGAAAAGATAAACCTTCTAATGCAGTTATTTTCCTTCCCCTGAAAAACAACATTAATTAGTACTTGCTATAGTCTCCCAAAGACCAAGTTTATATGAGGCGTTACTGGTTGCATAAATCCCTTGGTGATACCGTTAACTCCATTGTTTCATGTTACTTGACCGCTAATCATGCAGTATGAGTAATGACAATTCTGTCAAGTCGTACTGTGTGAATAATGACCCCTCTTTTAATAATGATGTATGAGTAACAACTATTTCTCTAATCATGCTGTAGAGTAACAGCAGTTCTTCTAATCATGCTGTAGAGTAACAACAGTTCTTCTAATCATGCTGTAGAGTAACAGCAGTTCTTCTAATCATGCTGTAGAGTAACAGCAGTTCTTCTAATCATGCTGTAGAGTAACAACAGTTCCTCTAATCATGCTGTATGAGTATTGGTGATTCTTATCCCATCAGTTTCTTGAATGTATTCCCAAGCCTCTTAGACTTAGTCTTGTAGACCTTTCCCAGCCTTCATCCTTTCCCTGTACAACATAGATTCTCCTCCTCTACTAGACTCTATTCTACACATTTAATTTTTCTACACAAACAAATACATGCTGCAATACATTTCAATAATTTAATTCATCCTTCTTGCAGAATACAATACAGCACAGTACAGTACAGGGCAATTCTTTCCTTTCCTGTCAACACTTCCTTCCAAATTGTAACCAGCTAGCCAAAAGTAGTGACAGTATTACACGGAGAGAGGGTTATGGTCAGACAAAAATTGGTAGAGTCCATTAAATTTTTTGTGCGCTGTGCTTAATTTTGTATCATACATAAGAACAGTAACCTTATACCTAGTGTATTTTGTGAGATGTGGCAACTCTGTGGAATGCTTATATAGCATCCTTAATCTGGCTACTATTGTGAGGTTCCTTAGGGCCATTCCAAGATGTAAACAAACACAGAGTTGCCATATTTCACAAAATGGACCAGCCACTGTACCAGGTATAAGTGGAGGTAGCTGTACATGCACAAATTTCTCCTTCAAATTACTGTACTTTGATTACAATGTAAACACATTTGAGAGAATTACTCAGTAACAAGAAATCTCTCATTATGTTTTTTTTGTATAATGATACATTTATGTTTCAACAAAGTTTTGAATTTTTTAAATAGATTTTTGAACATGACATAAATCTCTACCATAAACATTAGTTATAGTACCAGCATGCTCACATTTGGAGCCCAAAAATTATTAGCAGCTGTGACAGTGAGAAAATCAAATTTTTTGATAACAGGTTGACTTTTGTGTAATTATTGTAGAAAAGCTAATGTCATATAATTTGTATAACCTCCTGATGCATAGTGTTGCATGCTTTATTGATGCGTATGGACTGAGGTAGAGCCTCCTTCAATCTGATAGGTCACGCTTATACTTCATTAATAAGAATCTCTTCAATCTGATAATTCACTTTGACTCCATCACTTAGAATTTTCCTCAGACAGATAATTCACTCTGTCTTCCTATAGTAACTCTATCTGCATACTCAAACTCACCATGATAGCCCTTGGTGGACTGTAAGAGTACTGTACTTTGGTGAAAGGCTTTAAAAACATGGCTATAAATATCTACTAGTTGAGGAACATAGCAGAAAGAAGGAGACTCCACTTAAGGCCACACTAGTAGAAGAGAGAAAGTGGCATGAAAGAACACACACACACAAAATACAACCAAACACAGCATAAGCATCTCACCCGTGTATTTCAAATCAAAATTGTTCTTGGATAATTCAGTATTTTGCCGGTATTTACTAATTAAATGAATCAGTATGATGCTATAGGGAAAAGAGCCACTCTATATATATGTATATATATATATATATATATATATATATATATATATATATATATATATATATATATATATATATATATATATATATATATATATATATATATATATATATTTATAGTGTATATAGCAAGCAAACTGTGTACTTTGATTCAGTGATGTTACTTAAAGATATTCTCAGAGACCTGGTCACCTGGTCACCATGAATGTAAAGTTGATAATTGATCTTTACTTCTTGGCTGTTTGTGTTTGCTGTCTTGGTGGAGTTCTTTCATGTTATAAATGATTGTTATTATTTTATTTTTTATTAAATTTTTGGGGGTTAGTAATTTATGTCATTTGTTTTATGTTATAGCAAAGTTATAGCAAATTAATATAAAGATATTTATTTGACAGCGAATACATGTATGATGCATATGATGAGAGGAACAGCTTTCCTATGTCCAAGTGAGTATGTCAGTGTCCAGATAGGAACTAATGTGTGTTGTTTTGGTGGATGTATTATTGTCTGTCTTATAAAAGTAGGTAATCTCGTAGTACACATTCTCAACATTGCATTTGCTCTATCTACACAATTTGTAGGGTAATTTGGGCTATGTAACCCTTTTTTGTAGTGTAGTAAATTGTACAGTAAGAGAGTCCCCTTAAAGTTCATTCATATAAGCATCATACAGTAGCTTCAGTTTAAGAATCCTCTGGTTATGGGCAACTAGCTAACTCTAGTAACTCAATGTTTAGAGTGTCACATCTTAGGGTTTAACATGTTATTTTATTTTATTTATTTATTTTATTTTATTTTACATTTCTTGGTCAATAGTTAGACTGTACAGGAATAAACTGTTTCTACAACCTTCTTTTTTTCTGAAATCTGATGTTCTACCCCTTCGTCAAAAGTGCTTAAAATAATATTGTTACTAAATACAATGTGCAAATACTAACCTTAACCTCCTGGGCTTATATCACAATACTGAAAATAAGTTGGTTAAATATGGTTGAGGTTTACAGTTTCACAACTCATGGCTGCTGGATAATTCATTCAATGAGTGGAACCAAAAAAGCATGTTAAGAAGCAACACTGTCGATATTGTGTGGCTGAGGCTATAAAAACACTTGCTCTCATTAGCTGATGATGGTGGAGGAAGCGGTGATGGAGTTCGCCATGTTTTACAGTGATCTTTCTTCTCTTAAAAGTGGTTATGGTTGTCACTTACATTTTTGTAGTTTGTGGCATGAGACGATTGCTCTTGTTAATAGGGTACAAACTCTCTCACCAGCCAAGAGTCCATGTATGACGCATATGCTGAGAGGGACAACATCCCACTCACTACGTAAGTAATGTGGTGTGAGTGATGCATGTTGCCACTGATGCCTTCGTGCTAACTAATCATTCCTCCCCCATCCACCCCTCTCTAATACTGCCAATAATAATGCTCCTCACTTGAATGCCCCCCTCTCTCCCTTACATATGTCTAAACAGGATGATAATATCTTGCAAGTATTACATAAGACAGAATCCTAGAACAGCGGTCTGGTTTGGTGTGGTCTTTTCCACATGCCGCATTATTGTGCTCTTGGTTTAGTGTTGTGTTGGAGGTTGTTATGGATGATCAAAATGGAAATACTTAACCATGATTGTTTATTTCTGAAGACGTGTGTGGCCAAGTTATATTAATTTTTGCGTTGTATACATACCCAGAACACTTGGAGTTGCTAAGCTAATACCCTTATGGTTTCATGTTGTGCATTTTGAACTAGATGCATTTGACATGAGTTTGTATACAGTAATAAGTAGTTTCTTATAGTAGTTTTGTGATTTATCTATTCATGTGCTAGCTTGATGTGCTTGACTTTATAATTAATTTTTTTCTCTTCAATTATCAAAAGTAAAACAGTGGAAAGACGTCCCATACTGGTCAGGTGATTAATCGCTTTCCATATTGTTGTGAATCATGCCAACACTGACTTAGCTGTTAGTGTTCACTCTCAGTATATGTAGGGCTGCACTATATTGTGCATCTGTTGCCTGCAATAGATATATACTGTACATGTATGACATATGCAAAACTTGAGCAAATATTTGTGCTTGTCTTGCCTTATTGCTTCTGTTTGTTATGCTTGTCCTTGCATGATTTAATATTCCTTTAAATGTTTACACATTGACTATACATAAATGTTAAATTACAATTATGTGGTATGTACTGTATATATATATATATATATATATATATATATATATATATATATATATATATATATATATATATATATATATATATATATATATATATATATATATATATATATATATATATATATATATATATATATATATATATATATATATATATATATATATATATATATACAGTATATAGTTTTTGTTATTTCTTTACTAGTATTTAAAAGTTGCTTTGATGTGTGGATATTTTTTTAGTTATAGATTGTATATAGTACCAACTAGTATTTGTATTCTCAAGCAGTGCATATGACAAGAAGCAGCGACGGCGTTCGCGCGACCATGAAGGGTACGTGAGCAGCAGCTACACTGCTGATCAGCAATACAGTGGCTCCCGAGCTTCTCCACCACACACGGAATATATCAACACTTCTGAGTAAGTTCTCTTGCACCACTCTGTGAAATGCAATACATTTAGTGATTCTCAACAATTAATAGTGCTTTAATACAGCTAATTTTTCCTGCTTATAAAGGCAAATTTTGCTGTATGAAAGGACTGTGAATGGTTGAACATCACTAACTCTGATATAGGATATGAATTTGCTCCATCAATCTGCTATGCATTTTTTAAGACATGCCTTTGGTTTTTAGCCTAAGGTGAGAATTGCCTTTTTTTCATTTAGTCCCTTTCAGGCATTTTCCCCTAATTTTCTTGAACTAAGGCTCAGGCTTTGCACTTTGGCTACAGTTTTCTTAAGGCTACATTCTGATTATTAAGCATTTGATTATAACAGGACATTCCAAATATTCCAAGCCTGAGTTATTCAGTGTATGGATGTAAATGTTGCTTGAGGTATGATGTAGGTCAAGGAGAAGTATGTTCTGGGTAACACTGTAAAGTGACGCAGCACCTTAATGCTTATCTAATTGTGACACTCAGGATGATTGGTAAGCAAAAAGCTGCACCAAAGACCCATATTCAGTTGATGTATCGAACCATGTGATGCATTCTTGGAGCAATACTTTTGTGTCTAGGATATTCAAAAAAAAAAAAAATACATCCACATACTCAGTAAATGCAAATAAAGCATGAGCATGGAACCATATAATGTTTTAATTGCATTAGTGAGTAGTATTGCTTTAGAAGTGTTACATGGCTTGAGTATGTCTCTTGAATATGGATTAAGCTACTTTAATTTTTATTTTGACAAGCAAGTTGGTGTTGGATGATGATGATGATTCTGATGATGATGATTAGTTCACTAACTCACCAAATTATTTACCTAAGGAAACACTGAAACTGAAGACTGTGTTTGACTTAGGAACACAGTGGGTTCAAAGTTAACACCACAGTTGCACCTTGTTATTGTTTAGTTGATTTTTAAGATTATTAATTTACTACACAACTATGTTTAAATAACACCAATGTGTACGGTACGTAAGACATCATGTGGTTTTGTATTTTGCTGTAGGTGATTTGGCCAAAATGCTTTAATATGAAATACACAAACAGGATTTTATTATATACAGTCTACTATGAAACTTAAATCATTTATGATTGTTAGACTAGGAATTTAGTTTTCATTAATAATATTGTATTTAGTTTAGCATTTTCCATATATGAAATTATTGGAAGGATTTTGGCCACCCTAAGACATTTCTAGAGAGCATGTTTACTTGAAGAGGGATAAATTAACAAGGTGTAACTGTAGCAGTAGTAGTAGTTGAGTGTAGGTATGGTTGTGTCAGTTTGCCTATCCGTGTGTGCACACAGCTGGGCAGACTACCCTCCAAGCGGCGGGCCCCCACGTTACACCAGTCAGCCCAGCCTCTCCCCAGAGTACGAGAGACCGCCTCCATATTATTACCCCGGGCCTGGGTAAGTAAATGCTGCTCTGCACAACTTGTGTGGCTGTTGGTTTGTCTGTCTGGCTGTTTCTGGTAGTAAGTGTATTTTTTTATAGATTGTGTAATTGGAATTTGTTATGGAATTGCAAGGATTTTCTTTCTTTTTGGCTGCTCATTATTTATTTTAATAGTTATCATGCTGTTTCACAAAAAGAATGATGATACCTTAAGGATATTCTGTATATTACAAAAAATAATATCCTACCTTTCCTCTAAATTATTATCCTGTCTCACTTGGAGCATTCCTTGACAACAGTGTGGTCTTGTCTGGGCTGGTGTGTGCTCACATAAAACACTACTGAAAGTTTATTGAGTCTCATCAAACTTGAATTTATGTGGTTTAGAGATTTCATGACTTATAAGTTTGATCAGATGCCATGTAAACATTTATTATGTCAAGTGTTGTGTGTGACCACATACCTGCTTCAGCCAGGCTAGTAATGCATACACTTATCTGAGGCATGAATATTATATTCTTAAGATAATTTGTTGTTAGGGGTGCACCATTTTACTAATGTAAATTGAACTGCTTGGAGAGATTCATATTAAGAACTACAGTATCTAAAATTTAGTGTACATGGCTTTAAATTATTTCTGTAAAAACTGATACAGTACTAAGCTTTGTAATGAAGCACCAGGGTGACATTTTAATAAGCTTCACAAGATGACCAACCATTGAATTGTTGGGTAAGTTTTGTTACTGTATAGAGAATGGGTTTATGGAACAGTTAGACCAGTTTGCTCATTAATGTGCTTGTGTTAAAGGTCACCATTTTTTTCACTTCTTGTTCATGGAGAACCCTGGTCCTCCACACTTCCCTGTTCACATACAACTCTTTAACTGTTGGCCATTCTTCCACCTCCCTGTCATCCATCTGAATTATTCATTTTCATATTTTTCATTTATTGTGCTAGACATTTCTAGTTTAAATATACAGTACTTTGTCAGCTTTATTGCCCTTCTGAGAACAAACTTTCATATGTACTTACTCCCCTTGAAGGTCTCAGACAAATTTTATGCACTGCAGCTGGTAAAGCTTTATTCCAACATTACTGTACAGAATTAATGGACAGAAGGCAGTGTAAGATTTTGGTAAGAATATCTTGAAATTACAACTAATATATTATTACAACTTCATGCTCTAACCATAAGAGACATTATCTTTTAGATGTTTGTAATTCACATGCAGTTAAATGTTATAGTAATATGAATAAATCTGATTTCCTCATCATTGGATATCGAGCCAATAATTATTTTTCATAGAAAATTTATGTGGTTGTCATTTACCCGTATAAATTTTACATTTTCTTTGTTACTGAATGTAAGATTTTCTGGTATATTGTCTTTGACATAAAAGTTAGTTAGTTTATTATTAGCATTAGACAGATTTTTCATAGTTAGTATATACAGTGATCCCTCGGTTAATGAGCGCCTCGGTTAACGAAATTTCGGTTAACGAATTACCTTCCATAAGATTCTTAACTTCGGTTAACAAGCATTCTCTCGATTAACGAATTCCTTACGAGCGCCCCTCAACATGTTTTCGCTTGCACCTTAGCTGTCATATTAGTTCGCCAATACAGTAATCGGTTCTTGGGCTTAAATTTCTTACTATTTTAGTAAATATCAAGAAGTTTGTACTAGTCAATAATTTTAAAAGTCTTATATTAAAATTTTTAGTCATTTTAACAGTTATTTAACATAATTTAAGTACAGGGAAACTAGTTTTTAGCCCGCCAAACAGCCTGTCAACACACTATACAGGCGTCAGTCTCTGTCTTTTCAGTGGAGGTAACATCTTGCTTCAGACTCTCTTCAACATAAATGCTTTTTTTCTGTGTTTCCAGTCAAATTATTGGTCATTTTGAAATTTATTTAACATATTGACAATATATAATGCAGTGCAGTGTTGATTTAAAGAAAATTAACTTGAATTACACCAAGTGAACTAAAATTTTATGGGTGAAATGGCGCCATGGGGTGACTTCTCTTCCACCCCAATGCCTTCTCTTCTCCTCCACCCCCATTCTAATTCCCATCATCATCATCATCATCATCCAGGAGCCTTCTACATACACACCTCAAAGTAAGTGTACTCTAATACCTTTTTTGTTGACTTTAGGCAATTTTCGGTGAGCTGGAACCAATTACCCAAAAACCCATGGAAACAATGGTTTCGGTTAACAAATTTTTCAGTTAACGAGCAGCCTTCTAGAACGAATTGTGCTCGTTAACTGAGGGACCACTGTACTGTATATTTGTTTTCAACCGATGAAAATTATTTACATGTAAACATACCTTTGCGCCAAGTATTAGAACAAAGGGGTTTTACACAAGTCAGAGGGGGTTTGTTAACCCTTTCAGTCCTATCTAGGTTCTTCATACACTTAAGGCCAGAGTACTATGGACATTCGAGACATGTCAAGATTTTTCCCGCCCATTTCAGATATCTCAAAATAGCCATGAGATATATAATGATACCATGTCACCAGCAGTAATAATTCACCCTCAGTAAATTCACAGCTGCTCAGCTAGTTTACAAACACCATGGTGAAAGGAAATTTATTGGAGCGTGCATCTAACAGCTACGAGAGTGTACCCGTGTGTCTCTGGCAGAAGTAAATGTAAACCTAAATGAGTGGCAGCATAGGAAGAAATCAACACAATTTTGATGGAAAGTATTGAAGTAGAGGAAGATAATACTGTAATGAATAAGAAGTTTAGAGCAAGGAAATGCTGAGAAGACATACAGTAGAGGCCCAGACTATCCTACCTCTAAGAAAATGTAAAGAAACTGAAGTTTCAAACTAAAATTATACTGTATATATATTTTTTTTTTATTGCAATTAATTTAGTTATATTTATTTTTTAGACATTTATTCTCACTCCATAATAATGTACTGCGATTTATTTTTGTTGAAGAACTTAGGACTGAAAGGCTTAATTCTAGATGAGGTGAGAAATTGTATAAAGGTGTCTCTTGTTATCCAAGTGGGGAACATAAGGATCTGTTCTTCAACAAAAAGAAATCCCAATATACATTATTATACAGGTACCTAAAAAAATTAAATTGGTCCAAAAAAAAAACCCTACCTAACTACTATAATTTAGTACCTATCTACAGTACAATAATACTGTACTGTACAGTAATTGCTAAACTAAATAAGATACATTGTGCAGTTGGTGCATTACCTTACTGGAGGACTGTCATGGTGAGGAGGGGTGGGCTGATTTGAATTTTAATTCATTTGAATTTTCAATCTGACCGTCTTTCAAATAATTGAGGATTGCTTTCACTCAAAAGAAGTGTAAGAATACAATTTTCAGGTAGGCGAATTTTGGGATACCAAACATTCGGATAACAAGGATACCTGTAATTACTGGCCACAGAAGTACTACTGTATTCTTTCTGTTGTCTTGACAAATTTCTCAATAATTAATTCATAGTACTGTACAGGCATTCGCTAGGTTACGGAAGGGTTCCGTTCCTGAAAATCTTTCCACATTGCAAAATTCTGGATCATAAAACCATTTTACCCATTGGCTCCCATTATATTCTGTAAGTTGAGATGCACTCCTTTAGAAATTTTTTGTGGCTCAAAAACGTAACACAAGCATATATACGATTGAAAGTAGACACATACAATGATTCATTCATAATTTAACATGAAAATAAATCCACACACTTGAATTTAACTCATTGTAATTCCTTGATGGAATCTCTTATCACCACTGCTTTCACTTGAACTTGATGGTCTTTTTCCACTCATCTTGAATAAGGGTACACAGTAACACAGATGCATAACTGAACACAAACTGGGGAAAGAATTCAAACTTAGCAGCGCCATTGTTGTGGTGGTTGCTGGCTGCTGGGGATGCGAGCTGCCCTCCAATCATCTTGTAGCTACTACCAAAATCCATACAAAATACATTTTATAATTTCGGTGAATTTCTTTGTTATATATTGTGATCTACAGGTTTGAAAATTTTAAACAATTTCCAAAATTTCATAAGGGCGAGTTTTTTGTTCACAATTTCACAATTCCGTAAGGGCAAATTTCCGTAAACCGGGATTCAGTATCGCGGGGGTTGCCTGTATCACACTTGTCTGAATTCAGCAACACATATACAGTAGCTTGAGGACTTTTTTCTTTTAATTCCTGCTTTAATCACTAGCCTATAACTGGGCTGTAAATCTATCAAAAAATCTCAGCTCTGACCACCTTTGTTTAATGTCCTTCATTGGAACCTAAGAACATACCAGAGCATATTTTTCATTTCCGCATCTCCTTTCTCTTCACACAACTCTATAGTTAACTCATCCCAGCTGGTTAGAGACTATGCTTTTGTTGATAAGAATACAGTTGCTACCATTGGCCTTTGTGTATAAATACCCTTAAGTAAGAATATTCTCCCTCACTCACTACTGCAACCACCCTACTGTGACACAGGGTGGCCAGAACAGGTCTGTAAGATTGAGCAAGATGGAGTGTTATAACAGCAGGGGAAATACAAAGAGGCCAATGACAGCACTTGCAAGATTTAGATTTTAAAGAATATATAAATAGCATTAAAGGTGTGTATTTAATGAAAGACTCTGTGTGTTTCGAATATAGCAGTAGGGTGTGTTTGTCATGTGCTGACCACGTCTCTTGTATCTTCATCCAATCTTGCATCCATTGTGTTCCCTGTTGGAGTCATGTCATGCCTCTAGCTTGATAACTGTAATGATGATAACGTGTAAAATATCATTTACTGTACTGTACTGTACACAGTATGTGTGGTTGTATAAATGTGCCACTGTAGGATCTCTTCATATTTTATTGCTTCTATGTTGTAATGTAAAGTAGTGATTTAGTTATTTAGTCTTATAGAAGACAATAAGTCAATGAAGTTTTCAAAGTAGCTTTCATGGTAATATTTTCATGAAGTTGAGCTGCTTAGGCAGCCAGTTTATCAACCCAAACGGGGTAACAAAAGTTGGTCATCTTGGTTTTATTATTAAAGTGCCACTGTAAAGTTTAAGATATGTATATAGATAGTTCATTAACTCATCCTTGATTCTGTTGTGTTACACTGGTAAATAGAGTACAGAACAGACCATGGTCGTGCTTCTCACTTGTTGTACATCATATTACTGATCACCAATGTCAGATTAATTATTCAGCCATGTACTTTTTCTGGTTTCCATTATTAACTTTGTGACCATGTTAATGATCTCTCCTAAGTTCATTTATTTTCTTTCTATACTCAATACCCATAAAGTACCGGTATTTAGATTTGTGTACATGAGTCTTTAAATAACAGTTCATTTATGGTTAGTTCAAAATTGAGAGTCATTTTATATATAGTAATTAATCTTTTGCTAAGGGTAATTTATGTTTTTTTACAGGCTGATGACAGATTTGACTTAAATTTAAATTTAATGGTTGCTTGTGGCTCCATGGGGTCATTCTGTCTTTGATCTAACATGTACAGTAATATAATTTAGGGTTAAATTCTATTTGGTCCAAGTCAACAGTAAACCAGTGTTATCATCTCTGGGGTTACAGTACAATACAATTTTACTCCCAATAGTGTAAAATTAATTTGAATTTGAACATGTAAATACTGTATTGGAAAACTGTAAAGTTAGCACAATGTTTTTCCTCCATCCTGAAATGATAGAAGAAAGTCTACTATTGTAATCTCAACATGATTTTTTCTTACAGTGCACCCACAAGTACCTTGTGTATATATATATATATATATATATATATATATATATATATATATATATATATATATATATATATATATATATATATATATATATATATATATATATATATATATATATATATATATAATTTTTTTTAGACTGCCACAAACTGACTTGACATGTTGACATTTTATATGATGATTAACTTGTTTAATAAAAGCCATGGTATTATTATCTCTTGTTTATTGTGGTTTTTATTGAACACTTTCTCTCTGTTACAAAAGTCTTCACCTTTCATTCAGAGCCGACAGCCTTAACATTACTTCTTGCTCTTGAAGCCTATGTAGTAGTTCCTAACAGTGATCTTATTTATTATTAATCACAATGCTTTTTCACAATTATTAGAGATCTGTGATTCAGATTGTTTTCTGAAAGATAAATGCTTTTAACATAATGTAGCAGAGCAAACTAACAAATCTCTCATGGGAAGCTATTAGTGTAAACAATCATAAAATGTGCACAATAAACAGTTGCAAGGTTTTTTTTTTTTTGCTTCTTTGAGCACATATTTTTCACAGGAATCAGATTCAGATTCATAAATTATACAAGTACAGATGGAGGTGAGTGATAGTATTACATGGTGTGCTAACTTATGTGTACTATAATGAACATTTAAGACAGACGAAGGCCATAGTTGGGACCTCATCACAGTAGCCAGTATTAATCAGTGAGTCATATAACAGCATAGAAGAGTTTACTGTTGAATACAGTATGGAATTATATGTGAGAGATAAATGTTTGTACAGTACCTGTGTGTCTGAAAAGGAAGGTGAAGGTGTAGTAGTAAATTAGTTCATGGGTTCATGGTAAATACTGTACTCTGTAAGGTAAATCATTGATAATTTGATCTTGGGTTGATGTAAGGCGACTGAATATATGGCAGTGTTCTAAAGAATGAATGTTTTATTTTATTTTATTATGAAGTGATAAACAAGGAGATTGTTTGTGCTGGTCAAGATAAGTGGTGTTTGTGTAAACATTTACTTAAGACTAATTGTTACATTGAAATTTGCATATTACCTGAGTGCTGAAGAGTTTGAAAAGAAATTTGCATGTGTAGTTGTGCTTAGAATGTAAGAAGTGGTAGTGTGGTAAGGGTTGGAGATAACTCAAAGAAGAAAGCGCTGTCTTCTAAAATTGCATTCCTTATTTCACCAATGAAGGAACACTTTCCAATTTGTTAGATTCTCTATAGAACTGATTCCTGTGAAATTTAATTATCAATAGTTGATTTAGGGGTGGAGGTCAAAATGCTGGGTTGCTTCTTGGTTGGCACATTCTTTAGGCGGGCTGGATATGTTGAATATTGCAGGCCGCAGTATTATGGGGGCCCTCCCCCTGGGACGGGGCCAGCTGCTGGGGGGATGCAGGTGCACCCGCCCCCTCCAGGCAACCCCCCGGCTGGGCCTCAAGGCCCAACAAACTTCCTTCACGGCCCTGCCCCTTGGAACCCACAACAACGCACCATCAATCTTGGCGGCTGGAAGATCTCCCCGGCCTACTCTCGGGACGAATACGATGCATAGTGGCCAAGCATCCAGCCGGCCCTCTGCACTCTGCTGTACGACACTCTTCTTGTCTTCTGATCTCATCATTTACTGTAGCTCTATCATGATTTTCCTCATGGCTGCTATGTAGATTTCTTGTGATTTTTACCTAAAGTTGTATGTTATTCTCACTGGAGATGTGGCATCCTTTGGTGGCTTCTATCTTTTCCAAATTAATGACAATAAGTTACCTGTGTGTGGGATATGCTTAAAACTGTATACTAGTCTGCTTCCAGTTTTTGCATGTAATTGATGAATAGTTAGCTTTATTAGTTTAATAGAATGAGCACCCCTGATTGCTTTTGTGAACATACATAACTAGTCAAGTGGGATGCACTTCCTAACTGACTCATTCATCATCATGACATGTGACATGTACAAATTCTATACATTTCATTTTCCTCTTGCATCTGTTCATGCATTGACTCCCGACTTGTTTAATTGACGACCAGAGCAAGACCGACTGCACTAACCAACTGCACTAATCAACTAAACCTCGACAGGTAACTGAACGATTGTTGTGCAAAATATACACCCTGAAAAGTATGCTATTTGTTAAGTAGTTAGCTGTGAGCAGGTCTGGTACTTTAGATGATGAATGAAAAGATTCCTTTGGTAGATCTCTCATGTAACCTGAATTTTAGATTCATTAAAGATCTGCTTGCAGCTTGTAACACTGCAATCAAGCAGTACTGTATTTTGGTGAAAAATTGTCGTGACCCAAGGCTCGGAAATATTTGTGTAATTTGTACTGTATGTATTTTTCCCCCATATATACGAGTTACTACTAATGCTGTCAACTAATTGTTTAGTTCAAGGAGGAGACAGCCTTGGTTTATGAACACATCTTTTGCTCTTTGGTATACAGTATGCCAAAGGAATTCTTTTAAGTAAATTTATTTGCACCATCAGTTTTAAGTGCAATCAGTTAAAATTTTGCTCTTTAGAAATACAAATATATGTACTGGACTGTATTTTAATTAAATATTAAAAAAAAAAGATTGATTTTGGTAACAGTTCACTATAAAGGTTTTATACTGTTCAGTTTTTATTAATTGTTAAATTGGCTTGGAAGGAGAAATGTGTTTTAAAGGTTACTTAAAGATTTGTAAAATATGATTTCTTATTTTATCTTCCAGTGATGCATAGAAGATACCAGGAAAAGCCTGCGGTTCATGATGTACCAAAGTGTATTGATAGTTGGCCTTGATAACAGACTGTTGTACATCCCCATCACCTCCTCTCAAGAAGAAGGCACTTGAGTAATTGGAAGTGATTCATCTCCTTGTTAACCATTTTTTTTTATTTGACTGGTTAATGATACAAAATATATCTTATTTGTATCCACAATGCTTTGTTCTGAGAACTAGGAACATTCCATACAATCTGATTAAAAAAATTATTTCCATTCTTGTGATTTAACAGATTGAAGAAGGAACTGAAGCCAGGTTACAAAAACCTATTTATTGAAACATGATATTTCACTTTTTGGTGATATTGGTTGTTGTTTACATTTATAGATTAGTAAAAATGTAGCTGGACTTATATTCAGAGAATTTCATACCTGTTAATCATCTGTGAATAACTGTATTCAAACTGCCAGTTTCTGTCTCCCTGTTAAGTGTTAGTAGATTTTCAGTGCTTAAACTGTAGTTGCACATAGAAAAATACTTCAAAGAATAGTGCAGAGTAGAGACTAGTTTTCTGAAAGGAATTAGAGAAACTCTCTGAATGCAGTGATAGGATAATGCTATTATGCGATATGACTGTACGAAAAATATTCCAATACTAGATTTTTGTGATTCTGCTGTGTTGTTTTGGATAAGATATTGCTTTAACCTCATGTTCACTGGAAGAAGAAGCTGCTTGATGTTAGTCAGTCAATTGCTGGCAGTATAATATGTGGTATTCAGCCTTTTCTTCATAATAACATTACCTCTTAGAGTGTCCACATGAGAGGGAATCTCGGCATCTGAATCTGAAAACACCATTTGAGTGATGTTGCAAATTAACTGTTGCTGTAAACTAGGTATTGATTGTCTTCAAGATTATAAGAATTTACGATGAGCAAGGAGCTGGAACTAATTATTGTGTTAAGAAATAACTAAGTACAGTACTAAAGTCTTATAAGATCCTCCAGTGGTGTTGAAGTTTCTAGTCTTTGTGTAAACATTTTCATAATGGACTCCATCACATGTGGATACAACAGTGTGCTTATTCAGAAGTTCTGGGTGGAGATTGTGATGAAATCAACAGTTTTGAGTTTTATTTTGTGAGGAGACTCATATCCTTTTGAAGAGTAGCTGGAAGATAAGCCACATTTTTCTTGTAAGGTTCAATACTGATGGTCTTGTCACAATTGCTTTTAGTGATTGTATCCAGAGTTAAGTAATCCTAGATATCATGATCATATGTGTCAAATGCTGCTGTTTATGGAAGGCACATCCTTTACTTAGTTTAGGAAGTGATATTTGATACTCACTGTATGTTAGGCACAGATTAAACCCTCCAGTTAGTTTTCTGACAGCAGATTTAAAATAACAAAGCCTTGTTATTCCCAGCCTCATTGTTATAAAACACTTTGCTCTCAATATATATAATTTCTAACTCCATATCTTGCTTTTGAATTTAAAGTAAGACTGTAATCTTGAAATAAAGTTCAGTAATGTGACATAATGTGATGGGATTAACCAGGTTTATTTACAGTAATCCCCCTTAGTCTGTTGTAAGTTACTATTGAAACTACTTCACTATATACAAGAAATCAAGACATCAGGAAATGTGTCGGCCACATTGATTTTACACTACTGTACAATATTTTAATAATGGCCTCTTTCAGTCTCATGGTATTTTGGGAATGAGTTTGGAGACATACTCAAGTTTAGTAATAAACTTGATAAAATATGTTGTTCATGGTATAAGCATATTTTGACTTAACAGCTTTATAAATGGTGTCTCCGGTAAAGGTTTTAGAGACAATGTTGGCAGGAGGGAAGCACCATTGATGGAGTTGTCTTGTTTTAGTAGAAATAACTGAAAACCTGATAATATCGTCAAACTGTAGGCCAATACTTAAAAAAAATGTAATTATGATGAGTATGCATACAGTGCTTTCAAGCATTGTATGAATGGTTGACATGTGATTCCCAGTAATTTTTGTCTTTGTTCAAGTACAACAAATAATACTCTTATGGTGTGAGCTGAGAGTATTTCTTATTGGACACTTGTCTAATTCAATTGCTGGACACCACAAACAATCTTTGGATCTTGTATGTTTTATTTTTTTTATTTTTTATTTTTTTTTTCCCTGTAGTTCACATAATTTAAATTTTTATTTTATCCTGAATTCCTAAATGAAATGTTTTTTGTTTGTTTATGTCAAGTTAACACTTCAGTTGACTGTGTTTTTTATGTCAACAGCAGCCAAGTGGCACTTTCCTTTTAATAAAAATAACTTGGTACAGTATTTTGAGACAATACCAGGTTGAGCATGAGGGTCTCACTGTAGTTTTCAACCTTACAGTGTGGATGCAAGGTTCTGGATAAGTGCACTACAGTATGTCATATTACCTTGAGTAATCAAGGAGGGCTATTTTAATGTTAATTTTAGTTTGAAGGTAAGAATGTGATCTGTACATTTCTTTATTTAATTTTACTGAGCAGACTTTTCCAGTTCATGAAAGCATGTTAATACTGGAGTTATTGTTTAATTCTTTTTTTTTTTTTATCTAAAGGGTTGAAAGTTTTCCTGGGAAGTAATATTGTAAAAACATGTATCCAGTAGAAACTGGATTACTCAAGAGGTGTGCCAGCCTCAAGTATCATGTAGTTGTGTTGGAGCTCCCGACTCACTTTAAAGACTTTTGGTATATGCTTCTTACAGCTACTGTGAATGGATGTGAATTGTGTAATCATGTAGCTCTTTAAATGCCATACAAATATATTTGCTCATTAAGTTTAACTATTTATGTAGATACCTAGTATTTCATATTCAGATTTTTTTATGTGAAATTACACTTTGGGAGGAACAAGAGCCAGCCTCCCATTGCAGGAAGTTTAGATCTTCACAAAACTAATTCTTGCAATCTAAATATGTTGGAGTGATGAATACATTTCATCTTAAAATTTACAGCAATAGGCCAAGTGATCATCTGTGTTATTTAGCAGTAAAATGTAGTTTCATGCCAAAATGGTTTACAGTATCTAATGCAACAGCAAGCCATTGTTGTTTTTCAGTCAAGTGTTAATGAATGTATATGTATATATATATATATAAATATATATATAGATCAGGTGTGAGAATGAGTGTTGGTCTCATGTACTTTAACAAATACCTATACCTATACCTATGCCCCGTGTGATTTTTATATTATTCTGCAGTTTTCCTTGTCAGGTCTGTATAATACATGAACCATTTTGTAGAAAATGTTGTTTCCTTTCTAATTCCTTCTTTAATTATCAGTAATTTGTCAGAGAAAACTATACAAGACATCATTAATCTCTTTATAATACTAAAAGACAATGAAATACTGTATGTGATATAGATGCCTTGGGTTATTTTGTGATACTTTTATTGCATTTTTTTTTTTGCTACATAAATTGCCTCCAGTCCCCAAATTTGTGAAAAACTACACAATTCATTTTATAAGAACACTTAATGAAACAGGCCAGGGAATGAAATTACTGTTTAACTGACCACTAATTCAAGCATAATACTGTACTGTATTGTTCAAAACTTGTACTACACATTCACCTAACTCAAAGAGTATAAGTAGGGAATCATCTGTTACATAGAATGTATTCTGAAAGGACAAAACATTACAGGAGGCAAGTACTGTAGCTGGCACATTACAGTTGTAGGGGTTGATAAAGAAATGATATCAATGATATTATCCCGGGAGATATTAGGACAAATAATGATCAAAATTACAACTTTTTGATGCCAGTTTCTTATTCAGTATGTTAAGAGTAGACAACAATATTGAGATTGTGATTGGAAATTACAGTGATGAACTACTTATGTAAATATGGAATAACAAAACCACCATAAAAAATTATTGCAGGTGAATCAAGGAATATTATAAGGGACTACAGTAAAATTCCCATATATTTTCTTTAGGCCACGACACTTCTGCCCTCTATTGGACAAGTCAGAAATCGTATAAATTTTTTTAACAGTAACTCTAGTATTTCCCGTTGCTTTTACTTTCTCTACCATCGGCATTCATATAAATTATTTAATTATCTAATTTCATTATTTATAATTTCACCACTTATCACCTTATTAGACATTAGGGAGGTTTGTCTGTTCTTTGTTAGTGTTGTTATGATCTATATTGACGAGTGATAGTACAGGGGGAAAGTGGAGTACCCAGAAGAAACTTGTGATTTAAATACCCTGTATGTTATGTTCAGTTTAATTAGCCAGTCTACACATCTGTAATGATAAATAAGAGTATCAACATCAGAGGAAATTAGAGTTAAAGGTGGCTGAATGTAAAGGACCTACAAAGTACCACTAAATTATTGACTTTTTGGGGCTCAAGGTTAACTTTAAATTTTGTCACAACTGCAAATGAAAATGTATATTACAAACACAAAGCAACTACTCAAGCAAGATAGCGATTACTTCTATATCATATGGAAGGAAAATGCAGGAATTGAAAGGTATTTGCTCCCGTATTGGCACTGAGTCACAGGTGGTGGTAGTGGTGTTGGTGGTATAGAGCTATTGCTCGTAACTCTCGCTAATATATCAAGGGTTCGAAGACAGGAGGATGTATGCCAGATCCAGGAACCAAGCTAAGTCAGAGTGTAGAAGGGCTGAAAAGGAGTTCCAGAGGCTGATTGCAAGCAAGGTCAAGTCAAACCCAAAGGTGTTTTACCGTTACGCAAAGTTGAAATTAGAAACGCGAGTAGGAGTATTGGACCTGAGGCTTGAAGATGGTAGTTACGCAGATTCTGACCAAGACAAAGTGGAGGAGTTGAACAGTTTCTTTTCCTCGGTGTTCACAAGGGAGGATACGAACAATCTTCCTGCATTTGAGGACAGACGGTTCGACACAGCGCTGACCCACATTGTGTTCTCAGAAGAGGTTACAAGAAATAAATTGTCAAAGCTAAAGGTTCATAAGAGTCTCGGCCCTGACATGGTGCAATCCAGATGCTAAGAGAGATATGCAATTAGCTTGCAGAGCCCCTGAAGATTCTGTTCTGTAAATGCCTGGATGAACAAAAAGTCCCCAGTTATTGGAAAATGGCTTATGTGAGTCCTATTTTCAAGAAGGGCAATTGACCATCCACAAATAACTATAGACCACTGAACCGGACCAGCATAGTATGTAAAGTACTTGAGAGCATTACAGTGTAAGAGATGCCATGATGGAACATCTACTACGAAACAACCTTGTAAAGGATTGCCAACAATGTTTTATGCCTGGATGCTCCTGCTTAACACAATCACTCAAGGTACTGGATGTTTGCACCCAAATTCTGGAACAGTGTGGCAATATCGACAATACAGTATACTATACCTAGGCTTTCGACAGCATACCTCATGAAAAACAAAATATTAATGTGGAAGGGAATGGGATTTGAGTTTAGTGTCCTAGCGTGGATCGGAGACTTTCTCTATGATCGCAAGCAGTGTGTGGTGATTAATGGTACGAAATCGTCATGTGTACTGGTGACAAGCAGGGGACCACAGGGCATACAAATGTTTGCGGACGATGCCAAGTTATTTATGGAAATTAAGAACCATGCAGACTGAGAAGAGCTGCAGAAAGATCTCTGTGAGCTTCAAGAATGGTTGAGATAATGGCTGCTAAGATTCAATGTCACAAAGTGTAAGAGGCTGCACCTGGGACATACCAACGGTAGGGAGGCATATCATATGTCCCAATGGGACGAAGAAACTGCATTAATTGAAACTGAATGCGAAAAGGACCTAAATGTGTATGTTGACAATGAACTAAAGTTCTTGGACCATTTTGAGAAGAAGGTAAACCAAGTAACTAAATTATTGGGTCTTACTTTTACTTTTAACTTTACTTTTATCCTCTTCACCACTGATCGGCTCGTTAGCTGCTTGGGCGATCGGTCTGAGTGCACTCTCACATCCACAAAAAAAAAAACGTAAAAATATACCATGAAGTTGCTTTCATTACCACCAGATATCAAAATAAGTACTTTCTGTTTAATATAGCAGAGGTCCAGCCCCCGTTGGATCGTCCAGGGAGGCTCTGCCTCCAGCTTGGAAGTTAGGTCAGGTTAGAGAGGTTTTTTTTTTTTTACGGGGATTAGCCCACCCGGGCACAGGTCACTGACCCACATCAGGGCCTGGGGGGCGAAAATGTAATAATAAACAACAACAACAACATAATAATAATAATAATAATAATAATAATAATAATAATAATAATAATAATAAAGAAATACAAAAATGAAAAAAAGATCAAAAGTGAGAAACAATACTGTATACCTGTATGTATGTTGTGTTGTTAATAGTAAGTGAAACAATTGAGACCCTGCAATTGTGTGTAATTGAGGCAGAAAGTCAGATCAGCAACCTGAGACTTGGTCACAATTTTTGTGATTCCATACAGCAGCAGGGTCTTTTAAAATACCTACTATAATGACAAGAACATTTGTGGAAAATGAACACAATCGAACAACTCCTTCTGGTGGTAGTGCTGTTCTCAGATTTGAAAAGATAAACAAAATGACGGTAGAAACAATTGATAAGTGATGAAATGTTAAATTAAATTCTCATTTAACCATCACTGTTTATGAATCAATCATATTACTATGAACTTACCTTATTCTGTCTTTTGAGAAGAAATGAAGCCTTATATCTCCATCATTTCCTCGTTTTCCCGACACTTTGAGCATAAAATATATAAATAGACAATCGACGCACCGGTGATTTAACGCCATCTCTTGGACAAGCATCTAACTAATAGGGACGACTTACTCACGTCACACTAACAGTTCCTTGTGATATTCCTTGATTATCGCTGTAATGTTTGTAAACATTCCTCTAGTGACAGTCGCCAAGGAGACAGCATGAGACCTCTAGTAGATTAAATTACTGCCTCTGTATTTGTATACGGTAAGGACAGCCACTTTATTGTAGTGTAAGAAACTCGCTAATTATCTAGGATATAGTCGACTTTAACCCATTATTGTACAGTGTCGTGTAACTTCTGTAGACGACAATCAGATATACTTCAGCTTTGGTTTTGTCAGCTTTACTTGTGTAAGTAATCACAAGCCATGAAAAATTGTAGTCCATGCCTCTCACTTTGTGGATTTAATGGGTAATCATAAGAACATAATCTACTACTTCCTCGGTTCGGTATTATTTCAGTTTCGTACAACCATGAATTCCGGGATTTTTAATACATGTGAGAAGGGTGTGACTTATGGCTTCTTCAACCTTAAGTTATGGCCTCTAGTGGAGCGGGCATTCGCCAGCTCCAGGTGTATGAACACCCCGACTGAGGTACAGGTGTTTATAAACTTCTGTTAAGTCACCCCTTGTCATACAAATGCTTTCAGTGATCTTTTCACATGAACTCTTACAGCAATTACACCACTACATAATTGCTTCATTAATCTAAGATAACAAGAACCAACCCAACTTAAGTTGATGATGATACTATAACTTTATGTTAGGTTTAGGTTAGGTTAAGTTAGGATAAGTAGGTTGGGTTGGTTCTTCTTGTACCTGTCTCTTCCCAGGACCTGTTTGAATTTAAAAGTTATCAGTTGGTAAACATCCCTTGAGTTCAAGTTTGTTACCCACTATCTTTCTTATTTTACAATAACTTGATGTTTAGTCAATGTCCAGATGAAGCTCACACCTGTTGTGTTTCAGAGTGGTGCAGGATGGGTATTGACTGGGAGTACCTGCGTGGGGTGACTGGGGATTCAGGGGACTGGGGTGAGGCTGAACTGGAGGAACTGTATCAGGTAAGTGGTTAGTCGTAATAGCCCAGGGAAAAATTCACTTATGGTTTATTTATACAGTATACAGGAGGGTCTAGAAATCATGCAGCAAACTTGAATTATCTGTTACAGAACTTGTTGCAAGACTTCCCGACTTCCTTGTACTCCTTATATAGTGACAGTAGTATTATAACTACCCATAATAATGTGAGTTATCTAGGCTGATACATAAAACTCTCGGTGTTAGAACTTTAAACTTAAAAGTACAGTATAGGTACCATGTTAATAGGTTTGTTCAGGTAGTAAATTCTGGTCCTTCCTTTCAGCCATTGCTTTCTAAGGTTTGAGGATGGATTGTAATACATTGTTTTGAAATTGGTGCTTTGAATCTATAATGTATATCTGTATTTTATCAAGAAACTAACCAATCCCAGCAACTAGAAGCCTAGAATATATACAGTATCAATACAAAGTTCAGATTGATTTTATTATATTTTATACACAACTTTAATTTCCCTTTTTCATTTATTTAGACTCTTGTGGGGATCACAAAGCTGCGATCTCGTGACAAAACTGTTGAGAAGTTAGAAATGCTGTTTACTCTGACACAGGCTGTGATGATGGCCAAGTATTCACAGGTAAGAAACTACGTACTTTCTTCGGTAAGTAAGGTTTGCTGTTTTAGCTATTTTTCATGACTGGTAACAGTAGACTATCATCTTCAGCTAAAACCAAAAACATTTGCTCCGTGACAATTGTGTATTACTGTGTGAAGTTTTTGTTTTGGTGGTGCAATGTATGAGATACTTATGATAAATTTTTCATTATCAATACCGTACTCTTATTACTTGTTGTCATGTACTGTATATTATACAGTAGTATTATCCTCTTTCCTCTTTCCCACATTTTGCTCTGTATTATCATCTGCTTATCATCCTCTTTTATTTTTTCCATCTCCTCCACTTTTTTCTTTTTTTTTAACCGAATTAGCCCACCAGAGCACAGGTCAATGACCCACATCAGGACCTGGGGTCGAAAATATAATAATAATAATAGTAATAATAATAATGAAGGACCATAAATAAAAAAGAAAAAGAAAGAAAAGATCAATTGTGAGAAACAATATACTGTATGTATGTTGTGTTGTCAAAGTAAGAGAAACAATTGCAACATTGCAATTGTGTGTAAATGAGGCAGAAAGTCAGATCAGCAACCTGGGACTTGGTCACAATTTTTGTGATGCCATATGGCAGCAGGGTGTACTATTAGACAATATATTATGCTTCCAATATCTTCCCAGGCAGTAGTACCTCCCTGCTTGGTAGCTGCCTACTACCTATTACATATAAAATATTTATAACTTTCATTGATAAATATTTTATCTTTTTTTTCTTTGCACTTGACATACATTATTACATTGTTGTGTCACCAATACAGGTTGTAGTACTGGAGGAAGAGGTGGGTCATCTTGCTGAGTCAGCTGGGCGTGGAGATGCCAAGCGTGAACAGGAGCTGCTTGCAGAGATTAACAGATTACAAGCTGTGGTTGATAATGGAAGGGGGACAACCAATGATGAAAACATTGCATATGTGAGTACCCCTGTACAGTACCTGGTAGGATATATACAGTACGGTAATTGGAAATGGAATACAGTACACTATTATTTGTCTTTAGTTTAAAACGGTGAGAAACAGGGTGGGCAAAACCATGGCTATTGCAAAAAGAAATAATAAGAAAAAAACTGTAACCAAATGAATCATGTTTTTTTGGTTTTAATGTTTTTTTTATTAATATTTTCTTGAGTTTTGATGCAGTTACAGTAATTGCATTTATCTATCATATTCTAAACAGAACAGTATACAGTAGTGTATTTTCATCATAAACGAGCTGAAAAACTAAAATACAATACTGTATTAAGTTTACATTCCTGGTTTTCTGCTTATTATTGAAAATTTTGCAATACCAGTACAGTATACAGTATAATCATCTGTTAATACAGCATAGTACAACTAGTTTAAAGAATTTGTATCATTATTATTTTAACATCGAATTTCCTTTAGTCATCAAGAGCTTTCTCAGGTACAGTATTGAGTAATAATTTGTAACTTTTGTGCAATGTGCTGATATATAAAAGTAATTATCTCCGTTAACTGGAATTCTCGTTTGCTGTAACTTTCCAATACAGTACAGTACCCAAAACTGAAATTGGCTTGGAATTTTATTGGAAAAATTCTATCAATTCCAGGTCCGTGAATGAGTTTCCAAGGTTGAAAATCAGGGGCATTTTCTGGAAAATTCTGAGAAAACTCCTGGAAAGTCTCCAATTTTTTTGACTGGGTCTGGGAGCAAATTCAGAGGATTAAATAATGCATAATTCTGGAAACTCTCTCCAATTTTTTTCTGGGTCTGGAAGCAAATTGCGAGGATGAAATAATGCGTAATTCTAGAAAATTCTGAGAAAATTCAAGAAACTCTTTCCATTTTCTTTTTCTGGGTCTGGGAGCAAATTCTGAGGATGAAATGAAGCGTCCCACATCGTAAGGTGCTTTCAGACCATACGGGCGAAACCCGTTTCTTGTTGGAAAGCACTATTTTCGGCCTAGTTCTATGTGATGGTAGTTCATAAGATCTCCTTACTACACTGTAAATAAGGTTGAAAGCCCTTTGAAAATAGGATAGAACATCGATTTGTGACAGACAGGAAATTATGGGCTTGGCTTTCACGTCGTAACGTGCTCTCATCCCATTAGTGAGTGAGTGAGAAGAGCGGGCGCCCAATCACAGTGGCCAGCTTACAGCCTCCTTCCCTGTCTCAGCCAATGACAGTGAGTGTCTGCGCGTCTACGTCACGGCCTCTCCAGCGGGCGGTATCTACACTGATATTGATTAAAGTGAAAAAAGCCATAAGCGGGTGGGAGTTTTGTAGCTTCAAGTCAACTTTGCAACAACCCAATTCATTACTTCATGACGTGCTACCTATCATCTGCAAGTACAGTCTTTTAGCTTCAAAATGCATCAAAAATGAATGCTGTATCACGCAAAACAACAAAGTTATGCATGTTTGAAGTTGGAAAAACTTTAAATGCAGTTTTCTCGGTTTAAAATTTTGGCGTGAATAATCCATATGATGCGGGGCGCCTCAAATAATGTTTAGGTTCTTGGAAACTTTTCCCATTACCCGGAAAAATTCTGGGCATGTAGAATATTTCTTGGTATGAGAGAGTTGTCTCGTTACCCGGAAATCTCTCATTTCCGGAAGAGTTCTGTAGTACTTATTCCAGGGATATCACTATTCATTTTAGAAGTGTATTTGACTTTGTTTTTTGTTGTTGAACTTGTCATTACTATTATATGGAGGATAAAACAAAGAAATTGGTGGGTGTGGAGTCCCTTGGCCTTAGGGTGGATTTTATAACAATGTGCTTTTACTACCCTGCATGTGCTTTGGGTGACTCAAAAGGAAATTTGATGATAAAATAATAATTAAAAAAATTCCTTTAACTAGTAGATTATGCTGTGTTAGACCCAAATACTGTATTGCAAACATTTCAAGTACAGTAGGGAGAAAACTAGGACCTTAGGTATGTCCAGGCTTGGTAGAGAAAACACATTGTAATGAAATACTAACTTAGAAAAAAGCTAATGCAAAAAATAATATTATTAAAAAACATGCTTTTTAACCAATCCACCCTGGTGAAGAATTTACCTTTTAGTAGATCATTGTGTGTAGTATTTCATGTTGTTGAAACTTTGCAGTGTATGTGTGGGATGGGTACAGTGTCATATTAGAGGATTGTGGAAAGATGTTATAATGTTTTTGAATACATTCCTACAATTATTTGGGCTAAGGTGTCACCCCCATATACAGTACTGTTTGCATATAGGCATTGCTGTGCCTGGATTTGTATTGTGTATAAAAACTTATCCTTCTACAGTACTTAAATTTCTGAACAAAATACAGTAGTGTATTGGTATGTGACTGAATCTGAATTATAAATCATACTGTTAAGAGATCTCTTAATTACCAGGATTGGTCAAGTGGATGGCGACTGAAGAAAAAAGAAATGGAGGAATCAATTCAGCAGAAAAATCTTGAGATACAGCAGTTTATGGATGACTTACAGGTACAGTTCTGTAAAATGTAGAACCTTTGTTAATTTTCAGTTAGCATAGTGCAGGGTGGTCCATCTGTGTGCTATTTACAACCTACAAGATGTTTCCCACCACCATACATTTAGTTTTGGAAACTTACCTAAAGAAAGATGAAATATATGTTTGGTATTATGACAGTTGTAGAAAAAAGTTGTTTAAACAGCATGTCATTATAATTGATTACACCTTTTAGATTCTTAAATTTTTCTGGATGAATTTATTACTGCACTATATACGTAACCATGTGTTGACAATTCTTATCCTCTCTCCTAGTCACAAGGTAAACATACACCCCTATCTGCAAGTCTACCTATTTTATAATACTTAAATGTTATATTGCAGTGATTTCTTATATATTAGTGTACATTATTATAATCACATTAGTACCTATTTATATGTGTTTATAATGTCTTATTTCTTGCGGGTGATTTTGCACATTAGTATTATGCTACCCTAATTTGTCACATTTTCAAAAATTAATCACGTAACAGTATTGGTATGGTGGAAGGCTGGAGTAAGTTTGACTTCTTTGCTGATTATCAACTATTTGATGTACCTCTACCCCTATGTAGTTTGGTTATGCATGTACAGTACTGTATTCACTGTATAGTATTACTATCTGAAACATGTTGTGGCAGTTTGTGTGGGGTTCAGGGGTGATGGTTCTTGTTCCCTTCTTGACACACCAACTTCACTTCATGCACATGTTACAGCCTTTTGCATAATGGCATTAGATGCCCAGACCCTCACTTAACCTAACCTAACCCAAACATGGCCTGACATTTACAATTACTGTACAGTAATGCCATTATGCAAAAGGGCCAAGGAGCTGTTTGGCCTTTTTGCATTGGGGTCAGCTTAAAAAAAAAGCTGTAGCACTTATACAGTACAGTACCTGATGTAATGCCAGTGGGTTGGTTAAACTTATCTTTAGCCTGAATGTAGTGCAGTATTCTCCTTACTCTATTAGAATCATAATGACTCCTACCCTTGGAGGGAGTAGCAATCTCTCCTCCCTAGATAGCAGTACAGTATTCCCAGGTTTGGTTAAGATAACTCTTGGTATGTGGATAGACGTGCAAGATAGACATACAGATATACTGAAAGATAACTCCATGATATCCCATAATGTCTTCATCCAGAAGGGCTTATACTGTATATAGTTTCAGGTGATGCTTCAGTTCTATAATATGTAATCACATTATTTAATTATACTTTTGTTTGTGCTTCACCCAAAGTAAACTTGTAACTGAAACTACATGAAAAAACATAATTTGTTATTTTTTCACTTTTCCAAGTTTCTTCCTGGTACATTATGTTGGGTGGCTGTGCTCCATAAAAAGTACAGTCTCTCCAGTACTAGACAGTCAAGTAACAGTTGTGTTCTTCTATGGTTTTCTGTTTCCACAACAAGACCTAAGATATCCATTTTTAGTTTATATTTCCTGCTCAGATATGTTTGTTTTTATATAATTTTTACAGTTAGAATAATATAAGAGTGAAACAGCTGACATGCTACAGTGGAGTCGTGATAATTCGCCTGTTAGGTCCCTTAAGATATCGGGAATTATCAAATCACAAATTATAGTTAAATTTATTTCAAAGGAAATAGTTAGGTTCCACAGTTCCGTGGGCCAAAATAGACATATACACTGTTCCAAAACTGCTTTAATAAACACTAAATATCATACATTACATAAAAAATACAGTAACACATAGATAAAGTACAAAAAGTAGTTCTGTATTACATATACAGCTCCTTTCTTTCCCATAATCATCCTCTGGGTTATTCCTGGCTTGCTGGTTAGTCACCTGTTTGTGGTATGTAAACAATGCACCGGGAATTAATGACACAATATCTCATCTGGGGGTAAGTACGGTATGCTATTTTTTTGGGGGGGCGGGGGGACTGATTATTTTACATTAATTTTGTATTCATTTGGCAACAAGTAAGCCTAACTAATATGGGAATTATGGTGCAATTACAAGCTGTTATGTTAAAGGGGTGACAGAGTGCTTCCGGGAGCGATGGGGGGAATTTTCTGCTTACCGTAGTCCAGCCACTCACCTGCCCCTACCTCTCCCATACAGAATTCACTTCCCACATCTCATTTTCTTATATTGTGGTTTTATATTATATTTTCTTTATTTCTAAGTCACATTAAAGCATTGAAATAATATTTCCACAACTTTTATTGTTTTTATGTTAATAAACACTATGGCAGCTACTGCAAGTAATGAATATTTGACCATAATTTGCTTTTTTAATTAGTACAGTAATAGAGATAACTGCAAATTAAAGAACATGAATTTGTGTTTTGTGAACTATTGTGACTACTGTGTGAAATATTTCAAGCCTTTTCCCACTTAATACAGGGTGTGTAGAATAAGAGTACGTACACATAAACACTCTCTCCTTCACGTTTACTTATTTTCATTCCTTTATTCTTATTGCTGTATTAGTTGTTCTTGTATGTGTGGATTTAAGCTTTGTGATTTATATACAGTACTTACACTATAGTAGGATTTAAGGAGTGTTTACTACTGTTTGTTAAAGCCTGATTATTTTCCTTACAGGTCTCTGAGAATGAAAGAACTATTCTCAGATCATCTGTGATGGAGTTGGAAGATCGTTTAGCTGAAGCCACAAAAGAAATCAACAGTGTCACAACAGATTATATGTCTCTGAAGGAATCTCATGCCCATGCTCAAGGTACTAACTTGTAAATTAAACACAAAAGCGCTTGGGAACTTCGTGTTTTCTTCTTTCCTTGTGGTTATCAGCATATACCTAGATCACGTGCACCTTCAGTGATTTACTTGGAGAACACCATTCTCACAACAGATTGAGCCCAGTAGTCCTCTCAACTCTTATCCTATTAACTATAGAATTTCAGCCTCAACAACACCTTGTTTCATGTCACAACACTTATAATCATGGCTCTTGATGCCACACATGGTGAGGACAGATTGTACCTGCTTTATGTCACAAAGATTGTGATCTTTACCTTGTTCTTCTGTATACTTATAGACAGTTCTTTGTTACATTTTAATTAGTTTTCATTCGGATAGATCATGAAATAATTTTAATTTACACAGCCTCTCATGAAGGTTTTATTCATCTGTTTCCACTTGGTACAGACAGTTTGATAGTAGCCCGAGAAGAATTAGAGGGGTTTCATAGTCACATTGAAGAGATGACTCTTGAGAAAGCTCAACTACAACAGAAGTTTGAAGAACTCAGTACTGCTGTGGATGCCAGAGTTGACAAGTTGAAGGTAAGTTACTGAGTCTGCTCATGTACATGTTGCTTACTTATAAACACATACACTTTTCTTCTCAGTAAATTTATGCTTAAATACCTTCTGTACCGAAATGAAAATGGCCTGCGTTTGGGTGCCATAACATGAGCACATTAATTAAAAGTGATTACATGGTACTGAGTTATGGATGAAGGAATTGAAGAAGTTTAAAGTCACCTTGAAGAAGAGTACTTAGACAGAATGAATAATTCAATGTTCTGACAAAACAGGAAGTTGTGAGTCAACGTGAAGAAGAGCTACAGAGAATGAGGTCTATGTTGTACCAGAGATCCAACCTACCTCCAGGTTCCGTACAGCAGACACAAAATGACCTCTCACAGATCCTACAACTAGAACAGGTACCTACCCATTCTTTCTTCAATCCATTTTGAGTGAGTTTTATGAAAATAATGCTGCACACACTATAGATTTGATAGTAATGAATATAATGTATGGAATTGTTTAGAATTTGTTGGTATTAAGATTATATACACAAATTTTGCTGATATCAATAGGAGGTGAGGGAGAGGGATGCTGAAGTTGCTCGTCTTGGAGAGCAGTTAACCGAGGCATCAAGAGAGATTGAATCAAGTGCTCTGCTAATTACCAAATTGAAAAACATGAGAGTGTGAGTTACATTATATATTTTTTTCTTAATTATGAATGATTGGTAGTACGAGGTAAAAATGTGTAAAAGTTTCATAGTAAATTTACTTTCATTCATGCAAGTCCTTTCCCATAAGGTGTACATGAGACTGTGTATTCTGAAGGGTACTAAAAGTGACAAAATACCTACTTGGAAGTTTAGGTTTGTCTGGTACACCATTGATAAAAAAACAAATATGCATGTTTTGTGTGGTAAGAGAAAAGTTTATTCCTCATTTATCAAGAGTTATAGGTCGTGTGTGGATGAGAAGGCTTTATAGGGCAGGAATGAAAGAGGTGAGTGATTACAGTATGACGTTTGATTAAATGGAAGTTGTATGGCATAGGGGTGGCATGATAATGAATACAGTACAGGGGGTCCCCGGGTTACGAACGGGTTCCGTTCCCGAGGACATTCTTAAGTCGGATTTGTACGTAAGTCGGAACACGTGCTATGTGCATTCCATACTTACAGAACACTGTTTAAAATACCACTATATCGTAGCTTAAGTCCTCATATACATCTAAAGTGACTTAATTTACGACAAAAGAAGAAATTGAATGACAAAATACAGTAAATAAAAGTAATAAATAAGTCATCAGGTAAATAAAATAGTGTAAATTTCAAGTTTAACCTCGTTCGTATAGGCGGGCGTTTGTAAGTCGGTCATTCGTAAGTCGGGGACCCCCCCCTGTACTGTAATGTGTTGCTACTGCGATTAAAAGATGAGGGACAATTGGCAGGATTTCATTGGTTCACTGATCGTGGGAATAATGGTTGAAGGAGGAAGTGAAGGACAGATCAGTCATTATTGAGACGAATGGTTTTAGGTTAAAATTCGTCTGCTAGTGATATATAGGACTGTGGTGTACCATAATTTAGCCATTACTGAAAATTTGACTGTGGGACCATTTATGAAGACTTGTGTAATTGATATGGGATTTATTTTTCAGTTCTTGTGCTACCTCTTTAAAAATGATGATCAGGAAATTTTCAAATGACTTTATTGTTTTTTGTTTTATTTTTTCCGTGGAAGTCCTCTGTTACTGTGATCACCACCCACCATCATCTGTCAGTTGTTTATCATGAAAGGTGTGTACATATATTGTACAGGAAACATAATTTTCAAACCTTCATATGGAATAAAGTAAATGTGTAAATAATAAGTAAATTACAGTTCAGCGGTGGAGGGAGATGCTGCCATTATCAGTCAACTTCGAGGAGAACTCCATGAGGCTCGACAACACATGCAGCAAATGCGCACTCAACTCTTAGCTGCTGAAGAAGATGCACAGCTTCATGCTCAGGATGTAAGTTGTGTCCTAGATGTGATGGATATTGTGGCAAGGAAGACAAAGGCATAATTTTTCTTACTTCAAGTTTTTGTGATTATGTCAGAGTATTAAGAATGGGTAGGCCAAACATAAGGTATCTGGATAGGTAGCAACATTTGTTTGTCAGTAAAGAGATAGTGTTGATTTTTTTTCTTCAGAAATAAGAGTGTGCGTTAGCATTCAAGGCTGCCACAGTTTGACCAGTATAGTTAGTAATGTTACTGTGGAAATACTATACATAATTTTAAAAGAAAGTTTATATTGTCTTAATACACTCTTGGATGGCTCATTTTGTATTCATAAATCCTAGCCATTGGTGTGTGTTACAGAGCAGTTACAAGTGTGTTTGGAAATAAGCACAGTTAATGTCACTTAGAAATAGTTAATTGAAGTGCTATACTCTTCAGCACAACACATACTGATGTAATGTATATGCTTGTTTTCTTTTCTTTCAGCTGTCAACAGTAATTGGAGAATTGCAGTCATACATGGCAGGAGAATATTCTCTGGCTGATGCTCTAAGGGAATTAAAAGAAGTTCGAAGCCAAGTACGGATCAGAGACTCGCAAATCTCGCAGTTGACAGTTCTTGTCAATACTCTTCAGATCAACATCAATGAACTCATTGAAGAGAATGGTCAGTTGAGGTAAGCACAAAAAGTGTACCACAGTATTTTTTAGGGATCTTTCTAGGCATAAGAAAGTCTGCTATAATCAGAGTCTTCACCTACCTAATATATAATCTACATTTATATTACAGTATTGTATTATAACTCGCCACAAGGTTTAAGATGACAAGAGTGGATACAGCATTCACCTTATGTCCTAACGGTTATTTGTTCATGTTCAGGGCAACCCTTTTCACCCAGCTGTGAATGGTACCTGTCTGTACAGTTGAGGAAGTGAAAGCAGTTAAATACAATACAGTACCAGCCACAGCCTCCTAGTGTGCTATATACTGTAGTCATTGCCCTTAATGATCCTTCACCCTTGTGGGACACACTTTCCATCCTTCAAATGTTTTATTGTTTTAATTACAGAGAACAGCTAAAGCTTGAGCCTCGCAAGGACATTGACTTACCTGGAGTAAACAAGACTGACTGGCAGAATAGCAAAAAGATCATAGATCAGCTCACTAATCAAGTCAATAAGTTACTGGATGAGAAAGTCACTCTTCGCACCAAGGTTAGATGTTTTGTGAGCTATTTTATGGAAGGAAAGAGAGCGGGGTGGGAGGCGGGGGAGTGATGAGTTCATTCTGAAAACTTGTATGACACACAAGTTCCAAAAATAGTGGTGTGATGCCTCTGAACTCTTAATATGACCTGTTAAAGTAAATTACAAAGGTAAAGTGAAAGGGAAGAGTTTTATATTATGGGATATGGAATATTATATACAGGTAAAAGTAGTAGAATTATTAGTATGTACTGTATTCTGCAGGAATTTCTTGTCTGTTGAAAACTACAGAACTGTAACATTGTTTTTGTGACTGTCGTCTTTAACAGATTTATGATTTGACTCGAGAACTGTCCAATGCTAAGGGTTCTCTTCAGCTGACAACTTTAGAACTACCTAAAGGCTTTGGTTCAGGTTAGTTATAGTTTGTACCAACTGTACAATATTTCTTTATTTTTAGTAGTCTTTTCAACCTTTATCTGCCTACCTGTTGTCCTACTCTTCTTCCATTCTTGTGTGGGGCAAATCAAAGACACAAAACATTAAGGAAAGGGAAGGGAGATGGTAAGGGAGTGAAACATGGGATTGGTGTAGAAAACTACAGTAAAATGCTGGAACATCAAGTAAAAATTCTTCACACACACACACACACGCACGCACGCACGCTCTCTCTCTTTATATCTTCTTTATATCCTCTTCAGCATTTGTTCTCTGAAGAGTAATTTTCTTTACTTTATCTCTTCCTCACCATTGAAGTTCTTCATTTTTACTGTCTGTTCATACCCCTCTTGTTGTCTTTTGCATTAAACTTCTTAATTTCTCTTGGCCCGTCTTTATTGCTCTCTACAACTTTTACAATAATATTTGGTAAGTGATTGATTTTGCATTATTTGGATTTCTTACATTTCATTGACCATTTCATGTAGCTCATTTGCCACATTTTTATATCTTGAGGTGTGTATGTTTTGTGTCTTGCCATCGCATTACTAAAGTTTGGCGATAAAATGTTTGAGTGTTGATAAAATTGTAATGTCATAGCTTTTGAGGTTTTTTTATGTTTGTGTAGCAGAGATGTCTTCCAAATAATTGGAGTAAGTCAAGTGGCAAGTACTGGGGTAATGTGTCTTCCAATTGCACGTAGTAATGATATTAGTAATTTGTGGTGAGTGGTCAGCCAGTAAGTACTCCTTGATATGACAGTGAATGTGACAAGATATAGCATTCTGAGAAATTCTGGAAAAACCTCTCCATTCTGGGTATGGGAATAAATTTCTGAGGATTGCATCATGTGCATTTTTGGAAAATTCCAAGAAAATTTCTCTGTTCCAGGCATGCGAATAAATTTCTTGGAGATTGCATCATGTTTCTGATGTGGGGATGCGTACCGGGCACGTGGGTGGGTAGGTTAAGAGTGCTCATGAGCTACAATTGGTCACTACTGTTATATGACTACATGGGATGCCTATGATTGGCTGATGTATCCCACAGCCTATCTCCTCAAACTCTTGCATCACGACACACTTAGTTCATTGTCTGCTGGTATTGTACAAGCTTGTTCGTCCGCTCACTGCTGTTTTCAGTCCTATCTGTGTTGTGCAATACAGTACTGTACATTAGCATATAATCAGCGAAGAATACAATTAAAGCAGTGATTGGTTACGTATACTGTACATTCAATGTGAAAGTACCATATGTACAGTACAGTACTGTACTGTTCTTAGCAGAGTGGACAGTGTATGTTAGTGTGTAGAGCAGGGGTGTCAAACTCATTTGCCAAGGCGGGCCAGATTTAATATGAATACACAATATGCGGGCCAAGTAACATAATTATGAGCACTTTGCATTCACCTCTTAGGTGAGTAGTACGACAAAATAAGAAAGGTGGATTTAGTCTGCGCTCGTGCGAAACCCTTAAAAACAAACAAATCAAGTGTTTACTTACCTTGATCAATCTTATTGTTTGCTACTGCTGCTTCCTGATAATTGGCACCTCTTGGTATGGACCAGTGCATCAAAGTTTGGCACTAACGACTGAGCTGTAGCAACCTTCAGTATTGAATTAAGGTGCGCATCAGTAAGTTGAGACCGAAGCCGAGACTTGTTCAAGTTCATCACAGAAAAGAGTTGTTCACAGACATATGTACTTCCGAACATTGACATAATCTTTGAGGCAAAACATTTAATCCTAGGATAATTTGGTCCAAAATATTGATAAAATGTGCTAACATCAACACTCGAAAACTTGTTCCTCAACACAGAATCACACTGGAGCTCAATTAATTCTAACTGAAGATGTTCTGGTACCTCATTAACACCAACAGAGAATGGTCCCAAAAAATGAAAAAATCCTTCTCAAGTCTTTTAAAGTCAGCAAATCTTTCTTGGAACTCATTCATTAATTTGGAAATCTTGTTGCAGTACTTTTTTGTGTTGATATCAGCATGAAACTCAGGTGTGCCTTGCAGGGACTTCAAGGTCGGAAAGTGAGAAAGATTACTCTCTGATAGTTGCCGTTCAAAAAGCTGATGTGGATTGAGTATTTTGTTCTAGGAAACAGCAGACTATTTTATTCAGCTGAGGGATACACTCACTCTTTAGTTTTAGCTCCTCAAGGTAAGGCTGGAGCACCAAATGGGCCGAGGGCCGCATGCAAGAGTGTGTTGGGCTGCATGTTGACACCCCTGGTGTAGAGGGTGAATGTACATTATACATGTACATTACATGTACAATCCCTCCTTTATGGAGAGAGACGAGAGTGACAATTAGCAACACCTGTTACAGGAGATGGTACAGGACAAAGGCAGGCCATCCTGTATCATCACAGTATCACCATTTGGCCTGCCTGCATCACATGCTCAAGATGACAGCATCTGCTGCTGAGTACAGTATGTCCTTAAAATTCATGGTCCTCGATTATTCGCGGATGACATCCTGGATGTACCCAAGAATGTCTAAGGGTAGTTTTAAAGTTGCTGGCATTTTTGTGGCCACGACAGGGAGCCGTTCGTTCTAGAGACAGTAATTTCTTTTACCTGTATTATATATGTCTGTGTGTTTGTAGACACACACGAGCACACAGACACACAGACACACACAAAACACATACTGTACATATAAGTAATAATGGGAAATCGTGCTTTGTTATAACTTTAATAACAAAGCACGTAGTTTACTTGAGGGTAGACTCACATTTTTAATACAATTTTGTTGTCTTGTTTCTGATTATTTGTGAGAGGATTTCCCATTATTAGTTATTTGAATGTGTTTTGTGTGTGTGTGTCTTCACACACTCACACACACACACACACATATATACAATACACGTAAAAGAAATAATTGTCCTAAGGGCAAACATATAAAGGGAATGAACATTTCTTTGCACATGAGTAAAAATGTAACCCCCCCCCTTTTTCAGCAAATGTTTTTCGCGAATTTGGGTATCCGCGGCCATTTTGAGAACCTAATTCCTGCGAATCTTAAGGGCATGCTGTATTTTACAGTACAGTATAGTGTATACAGTATTGTATTTTGTTTATTTACAATATATTGTATGTGGACAGTGGTATTTGCATAAGTAGTACAGTACAATAAATGCATTTCTGTGTCTGTCTGTGTGAGATGCATAGTTTAGACTCAGAAAACATTCCCCTGTACTGTACTGTGCCAGGAAAAATTCCGAGGATGAGAAAATTTGTCTCCATACTCAGCAATCTTTCAATCTCAGAATGGCTCTGCACCAATTATTCTGGCTAACAGGGATATTACTTATTAATGGAAACTGAAAACACTGGTGTTTATTGATTAAATGCATATCAGAAAGTGTTTTCAGGTATTTTGGAAATTAAATGGTTTGACTTTCTTGAGTTAATTTGTGTTTGACATTGTTTGGATGTGCTCGTCAACACTATTACAGGAACAGTGTATCTAGCATTTGTTTATACAGTATTGCTGTTTTTTTCAATGTCTTAGATTATATTATTTTCATGGTAATACGTATTTCATTTTCAACATGACTTTTCTGGCCATGTGTATATGAGAATTGCCGTACTGTACGTTCTACTTCTGCCCCAACAGGAGAGACATCGAGGCTCCAGACACAGTGTTTGGAGGAGCAGCTAAACAACCTCAGTGCTGCTGTTAATCAACTACTTCTAGAGCAAAAAGTTGAGCATCAAGAAAATCATCTCCAATTTCAACTAGAAGCTCTAAAAGAAAAGCACCTCAGGTATGGGTTGATTTGCCGGTATACAAATTATATTGAGGTACTGTTGATAATTTGTTACCCGACATTAAGGCTTCTTAGGCTAACCCTCCTCTGTGCTCCCTGATTATTAAACACTATTTCCTCATATACCTTTATCTGTCTCCCTGTCCTCCAATTAATTCCTCACCCTGATCCTGCCATTATACATTCTGCTCTATAAGGTTCACTTCCTACTCATGTCTTTTAAATGCATTCTCTTTATCATTCCTTCTTCATTCATTCTTATGGTTATTCCTTTTTCATTCATTCTCTTTATCATTCCTTCTTCATTCATTCTCTCAGTCATTCCTTTTTCATTCATGCTCTCCACAAAGCCACACATCTCATGCTTCATTTTTTAGTTAATTATCGACGGCCCTGTCTTTTATCGTCTTCATTTTATATCCTCATCTGAACTCATTCTACTCTGGTGGACTTCTCATCCATATCTTCGGAAATCTCCATCCCATCATGTTAAGGATTCAACTGCTGTTGTACCCTATATCCTGATATATCATGAGCTTTTATCGGAGCCTTTCATGATTCCTTTTAGCTGTCTTTGTTGCCTCTGAAGACGTGCTTCTTGTATTATTTGTATTACTCTTATCAAATTGTTTCACCTGTATTTCAGAATCTTTTGAAAAATAAATCTTTTTTTTTTTTAAACTCCTGTAAGCACCACATAATCTGCTTGTCTAACGTATTTATGTTAGTCCAATCACTCTTTCACACCTTGGTAATTTTTGTAGTCGCATTGATTTTTTAAGTATTTTCCGCTTTTTTTTTTTTTTTACAGATATAGTACTGTATCATTGTTATCACTGTACACTATCTCTCGTGGATGAAATATCCAAAGGTCCCATTACTTGCAAGTATTTGTATGGATATTTGTATGTGTATATCCTTGTTTGTATGCTTATGTGTACAGTATGTATGTATGTACTTGTTTACATCTGTATACAGTATACTGTATATCTTTGTGTGTGTGTGTGTGTTTAGTAGAATATTTATATACAATCTATTTTATGAATTATAATGTTTAAACTGCAATAAGCAAACTGTACAGTAATATTTTATTTTGAAATCCATAGATTGGAAGGAGAAAAGGCATCACTTGAGAGAATCATTCATAGTGACTTTATGAAGAGGAAAAAGACTGAAGATAGAGAGCAGTCAACTGAGAGTTCATCCACCCAGCCCAGTAGTAAGAAGGCCTCAGAGAAGTCACTTCACTCCTCCAAGTCTCCCATGGAAGCGCTGGATGAACTAATAGCAACGTTAGGTCAGCTGCCACCATCAACTGAGGAGGTCATTGCTAAACTCAAGAACCAAGTTAATTTCTTAGTTCAGGTAAGAAAGGGATGGTACAGGTACGTTATCATTTTATATCTACAGTGCAGTCTCTTCTCCACTTACGACGGGGATCTGTTCCGACGACCAGATCGTAAGTCGATTGAGTCGTAAATCGAACCGATGAAAATAATACATAGTACAGGTAATAATTGTAAAACTTTTATCTTTTTAATACACAAACTGAGCGGGATACAACGTGGATGCTGTACACACATGGCATAGTGCCAGCCGAAGTTGTTGTAAGGCGTTGTTAAACATTATGACCAAACGTCTAGACTCGAAAATAATGTAAAATATTTTAATATTACATAACGACAATGACCGTCGTAAGTCCGGGTTGTCGTAAGTCGCATATGTCGTAAGTCGAGGAGAGACTGCATATTTTTTATTTTTCTCTATTTTTTGTACTTCTGTTCCTTCTTATTAAAAGGTATAAAGGGAATATACACAGAAGCATAGTGACCCTTGTACTGACATAGATGATGGGTGTACACAGAACAGTACTTTACCTGTAATGACTCCTGTATTGATGTCCTGATATCAAACAAAGATTGCCTTCTGTTTCTTTATTAACTTCAGTGTTAGAATTACTCCTATCCAACTTTTATATGTACTGTATGTTGATGGCAAAATAACTTACAAGACAGGTGTAGCAGGTAATAGGAAAGGACTGGAGCAATAGGAAATATGCACACACACACACACTTTTTCTTCATGTTCTTGATTTGAATTTGTAAAGTAAACATTGAATCTTAAACCTCGACTTGGATTTACAGTGTTCGTCATATTCATTAAGAATGCAGAAGTTGAGTTGTCGCTTTGACTTTTTAACTGAGAGAATAATTAATTTATGGGTGTTAGAAGGTATCTGTTTGTTGTACATACTTGTTATTGGTTTATACTTTATTATGGTTTATATCATATTATCTTTCTCTGTAGGAATGCAGCAAGAGAGAAGATGAGATCAGTCAGAGAGAGAAGACAAATGCCATCTACACTAATCAGTTTGAAAGTCTTCGATCTCAAGTAACTGATCTTAACTCAATAGTATGTATTCCAAATTTCAATTGTTTTTTTTAATGCCATTTTTGTTATGTTATATTTATTATGCAGTGGTTGTTGGGGTTTTCTGATTTACACAGTATTTATGAAATGGGTATGAATTCATACAAAACACTTAATTACACATTAACTTGAGGAATAAGGGAAAGCTCAGTTAGTTTATTTCATTCATCCTGTGAGATTTTGGAGTGAGTAAAGGCTTGATATTACTGGATGTATTACAGTTGTCCGGTGAACAAGATAAGTGGATATCGGAGAAAAGGGAGCTGGAGAAGTCAGTGTGTGCTCTTGAGGATGAAGTGAAAGCTCTTAAGGCACAGACCGGGGAGTTACAGTCAACCATTGATGCAATATCCTCCGGCAGACCAGATGTGGATGCAAAGGTAATGCTCCTGTGAACTAAAATACAGTAAACTCTCTCAATAATGGACTTCTCAGTAAAGTAATGGATACAGTAAACCCTCGCAATAACACAAATCTTAATACTGGATATTCTCATTAACAGAATCTTCCCAGTATTAGACAAGGCTTGCAAGAATTAGTCCGGTATTGGGAGGGTTTACTGTATAAGTTAAAATGCTGTAAAGACCATCACATAGATCTTCTGTTTTGTTAGTCTAAGATGATAGGTGTTTGTAGTAATGTTTATTGATTAAGTAATATTCATTAATATTTTTTACTGTATTCTGTAACATTTTGAGTGTTTGAATTTGAGTCAATCCTCGTAGAACAGAATTTTCATACTGTATTTTTATCATGTTGTAATTTCTCAGCTGGCAAGGAGATTAGCAGAACTACGTTATGATTTAGAAATATCACACCGACTTACTAAGAACCAAAGGAATGAAATAAGCTCTCTTCATGGGCAGTTAAAGGATAAGCTTGAAGAAGTACAGCAGAGTCTACTTCAGGAGAAACAGGTCAGTTCCTAAATCTGACTACTGTAGTGTTCATATTTGAGACTAAATACTGAGGGGATTAAAGTTTTTAAGTTACCCTTTCAACAAATACAGTATACTTGCATAGATTCAGTCTGTGTTTGATGTAAAGTTGATGGAAATACCTCATTAAAATACTTAATGAGGATGTCTTTATGCTATTTTCTCCAATTATATTTCAGCTCAAGCATGAAAAGGAACATGAGCAGCAGATTTTGAAACATCGGATTTATAAACTTGAAGGAGAGTTGAGTCAGAGTGTTCCAAGGACTACAGCAGACCAAACATCTGCACAGTCAGCTGCCATCACAGCAAAGTATCGTTCTCTACTGCAGGCTCAAAGTCTCACGGTAATTACTAATACAATTTTCCAAAACTGTTTTCCTGTGTCAAGCAAGAATCAGCATTAAGAGTAACTTAGTTAATGTTCAGCCAGAGTAAATTGACTGCTAAGAAGGGGACAAAAGACTGTGGTCGAAGAAAATTGGACTATTCAGAGACCACGACTTACTTGTAAACAAACCATCAGTATAAATATCCGAGTGTATAGAAAGTTACTAAATACATTGTATAAGTATAGCTTGCATACCTTTGTGATTTATTGTTACTTATTAGGTACTTGGTGTCTCTGCATGTCCTTTAGTATGGTTTCAAAGAAATGTTGGGGTTAGTGACCACGTATCTGTTGATTCATCTTTTTTAAATGTATATTTTTCATTTGACAGAGGCATTATGTCCGCAGCTCCTTATGACAAGAATTTTTTAAGTACACATTAGTTAATAACTTAAAAGAGTGATGACTTATGACAAAATGAATGGGATGAATGTCATTCTTAAGTAGAAAAAGGAGTGATGATAAATCATTACAAGGAGAGCACACAGAGATGGCCATTGAACATTGGTTGAATAGAGAAAGTTGAGTGGGATATGCAACAAGTCTGAATGAAGATGTCCTTATTTTAGTCCTTAGATTGTATGGAAGTGCAAATGGAAGGTTCCTGAATACAAAAGTTGAAAACTAAAAAAAAAGTAACAATATATAACTGCAATATTACAGTATTGTATAGGAATTACAGGAACTAAAGAGGCAAAGACTTAATAATTATATATATTGTTGGGTATTTGATACTTGTATGTACTGTACAAGGATGCAAGAAGACTGAAGGTTTGTGGGAAAACATTATGTGTTTTACAGTTCATAAATTATATGTATGTATAAATACATATCAATGTTTTCTTGATACAACTATGAAAATGGAGGACTGGGTTCTCTCCTTGCACACTCATTCATCAACAAAGTGAGCACATAATTACGTGTGCTTGCTGTGGGTAGAACAGCCATTCATTGAACTAGCATCATGCCAAGTGAGTAGGGTACCCCACTAGTTGCTGAATGTTAAGAATCAGAGGATCAGCACTTGTCTAGCCACCCTGCATTATAACAGCAAAAGCCTCATATGTATGAGAAAAAATATGAATATGTGTGTTTACAATAATTTTAGCTTGAGGAATATTTAATGCAAGATAATTTTTACTGTTTAATTTCTTTGTCATTTGTGTCAGATATATAATTGCAGTATACATTACTGTACAGGTATTTGTATACTGTATATAATTTTAGCCTAATTTTTTGCCTGCCTTTTTCTTGCCACAATGCAGGGTGGTTGGTATCAACATCAAACACAGATTCTTCTTTCATTCTTTATGACTTCCATAACACAAAAGATACATGATAACATATAGCACATGCAATATCACATTTACATAATATAAACAAAATATCAACTTCCAAAATACCAGAATAAAAATGTTAATTTCTTTCTATCACCAGATGCAAGAAAAGAACCAAGAGGTACAGCTGATGGCCGAGAAGCAGCAACTTTTAGAGGAGCGGGAACAGTTGAGTCAGTTGTTGGAGAGCGCCAGGGAGAAAGTCCATTCTCTTCAGGCTTCTTTAAATTTGGTTGGAAAAAACACTACTCACATACAGGTATGGGCCTTCTTCATGCTCTTTCTTGAATGCTAAGCACCATTGAATATATTAAAGGTATCAGTGCCCATTTTCCCATTCTTACCTAACATGTAAAGCTCAGCAATCTGTTTTACATATAAATACTGTATGCATTTTGTAAAGCTGTTATGGTGGACTTAGGGCCATGGTATTTTTAAGTGCTTACTAAAAATGAATGCTAGCATTCTAATTTACCTTTTCTTCACTGTACTGTAGTACTGTACAGTACAGGTGCTCCCCGACTTACGACGGGGTTAGGGACCCAAATCCAGGTCGTAAGTCCGAATGGTCGTAAGTCTGACATAGATAAAAAAAAAAATTCTATTTCTTTTTTTTAAATAAAAAATTTACAATGAAATACAGTACAGTGAAAGTAATAAATAATGAGGAATGGATACAGTGTGACTGAGCACTTACCTTTAATGTAGTCAGCTGAATGCACATGGGGCTCCCATAATTTTCTAATTATACATGGAGACTACATTAACTGGAAACGTTTCGGTATAGAAAATGCGTGCGTCATTTGGGGAAAAAAAAAATTGAAAAAAAAAATGGTCACAACTGCGGCGGTCGTAAGTCCAAGCAGTCGTAAGTCGGGGACTACCTGTATACCAAAATTATGGTACTGTTCAGTCAGGGTCAAAAGTTTCCTTCTGCCCAAAATGAAGCAGCATCGACCCCAAATGAGATGAAACAGTCAGGGTAAGTCAGTTCAGAGACTTATTCCTGTGACTCAGTCTCACCATGGGGAGCGAACTTTTGCCCCCGACTGTACATGCACACCACACCCAACAGTGCATTAATTCTACTAATATGGTTTCCTTTACAAGAGGATTTAACCATTAGTTTAGTTTCTATTACAGAAAGAAATACAGTACAGTATTGTATTCAGTTTGCCTTCATCTGGACTTATGAAGATAATTTATCATTCATCTCAAAATTCATGTGATATTGTATTTTCATAGACTTTGGCCCATTTATTATTATTATTATTATTATTATTATTATTATTATTATTATTATTATTATTATTATTTTATCTAGCTTCACTCAGATTTTGTTATGGTGTAGACTATCAAGCCTTGGGTGTACTGTTATCTTGCAGGTGGAGATTTTGTCTAAACAGCTCGCTGCCATAGAACTCCGGGAGTTGAGGGAGAAACAGAAGGCTGAACATTCCTCCATCATGTATCATAATATTAAAAGTAGGTGACCATATTGTTCTTAATAACTTGATAGTGTATACATTCTATATCTTTAGTTTAAATTTAAGTCTTGCTGTATGATTTTTATGTATTTTATAGAGCAAGTTATTTAGTGTTATCACCAGATTCATTTTAATGCAGTCAGTCAACAGTACATATAAGCAACAACAATTCTGACTGACTTATGGATTCCCTAGTAAAAGAATGTGTTAAGTAAGCACAGATTATTAGGGGAAGTGAATCCTTTTTGTGTTTCCTTCTCTTGAATGTCAGAAATGACATCAAACCATTGATAAGAACCTTCATAATGTTTCCTTTACTTTCAGAGGAATGTGTGGAGCTGCAGCACCGGGTCCAGCAGCTGCAGGACACTCTCGACGCCACTTCCAAGATGAACCTCGCCCTGCAGACCACCGAGACTGAGCTCCGACAGCAGCTTCAAGGAGCCATCAAACAGGAGGAGTACACCAGGGTCACTAAACAAGTCCAACACATAACCGATGAAAAAGTACATAACATCTTTTTTGTTTTAGATGTAAGTGATATTTTCAGGGTTAGCTTTTTTATCTATAGTAGTACAGTACCAAGCTGTTACCTTTACACGTTTCTCACTTTTTTGTCAAGTGGATGATAGGAGAGAGCAATTTACAAAAAGTTTCAAAGTGGCAGGAAAAGGCTGAATCAACATGCTAAATCTTTACACAAACACCACTTCCTCATATTCTTTATTTGCATATGTAATAATCAAGGGGGAAACTTTAGGTTATCTTTTAACCTTGTAAAATATTGGTACATTATTATTGCGAGTAAAGTTTATACAATTTATAAGTAATGAATAATTGTGATGAATGTGACAGAAAGGTTTTGTAATTTGAGGTGTAATGTATCTGTTGACAGCCTTTGTCTCTGTCCATGACTTCAGTTATATCTGTGCAGGGTCTATTCCTCAAGAGGTGGTCCCAGAATTCATTGCATATATTCTTACTTGTGTTGCTTCATTTTTGCTGTAGAGCCTGAAATTGTCTGGTATCCTGGTATTTGGGATGCCAGTAATGTAACCAAATTTAGATGGCAGAGCAGGAAGATAAGGCTTATGGGAGAAGAAGGAAAAAAAAGAGAGAGAAGTAGGAAAAAAGAAAGGGTAATAGAAGAAGGTACAGTACAGTAGGGGAAGAAAAAAGGAATGAAAAGAAAAAGCGAGGAGGAAATTTTTGACATTTTTTTTTGAAGGGAGATTCAACCTTCACAAATTTTGGAGGCCAGGAATCATAAGATTTTTATTGTTATTCTAGTGAAAATTCAGCCTTTATATGCCTATCATTTATATTCTGTGGTATTTACATTTACAGGTATTTGTTACACTCTTCAATTCATGTTAAGTGTTTTCAAAACTTCTAGAAATGAGTTTAATGCAAAAATGGTAATGGAGAAATATTTTTTGACAGGCACAATTATTGTCAGATGTGAAGCGTTTACAATCTCATGTGGATGTGTTGAGTACACAGCTGAAGCAGAAAGAGTTGATTAAAAATGAGAATCAAGTTGAAGTGGACCAGCTGAGACAGGAGGTCCAGGATCTAGCAGCCACAAGTGATGAACGCACCAATATGGGTGAGAAATACCACAATGAGTACAGTATACAGTATATATTCCTCAGCTATCAAACCAGACAATGATTGCAGCTTACAGTGTTGCCACACAATCTGTCCCACCACAGGACACACTGTCAACATTTTGTCCTCAGTCTATTTGCCTAGTCATGTTTTTTCATTGCTGTTGTTCCATATTGACCTAACATGACATACCTCACCCTGTACATGACAGTGACATCTTTAATGTCAGGTTAACAGTGTTGTTTTCATTATTATTGTAAATTACTTTTCTACCTTGCATTCAAGTTCTGAATCATGGGTCAAGGACCTGGAAACCTCAGATAAATTAAGGTCAAAGTACCTGTATAGACTAATCACAGATTTAATGTACCATATAATAATTTAATCACTGCATGTATACTGTACTGTTTTGAAGAATCTGAATGAAAGTTTGAATTTGAACTGGAATTATTGAACTATCAAATTGTGTGATAGAAGACCCGTAGACAGTGTTTTGAAAGGCTGTGAAATAGTTTAGGGAAATAGGAGGGAGACCACATGGCTACTTAAGGTCAGTACTGTATAGAAAGAGAAGGAGATGTGGGCGAATTTAGGAAGTTGGTGCCATGGGTTTGTGGTGGTGAGCAGAAGGGGAACGTCCCATTTTGGTTTTACCCATAAGCTGCCATCAGGTAATCACGGATAACCCTTGCAGGTGTAGAAAATTACTGCAAAACGTTAATGATGTGTAGATATAATTTTTTACATATCACTGCAGTGCATAATAATCACTGATTTAACACATGTCATTTTCAGGTCAATTACATCAAGAGATTATTTTTTTAAAAGTCAAGAATTTGGAATCCATTGCTGCACTAGATGAGACCAAAGCCATGAATGAGAAGCAGACAATAGAAATCTTGCGTTTAAGTCAGCAGCTGCGTGATAGAGAGCGGCTTCTGGAGACGGCAGTGGACACCAATCGAGCGAGATCAACAAAACTATACATCATCATCAGAGACTTAAGGTTTGCTAAGAAATACTGTAATGGCAGAATTTTTGTCTTTTATATTTGTGGCTCATATTTATATTTATATGTTGAAAATTTAAGGGTTTAATGGCTATGAATTTATAATAATGATACATGTATATATACTGTATATATTTTTTACGCAGACAACAATATGCCGGAGCTGTGCCACTGTCCCAACAAGAGCGATATGTAGATCTCTTGGAGACTTTAAAGCAGGAGAGGAATGCCTTGCAAGTTGCCCTCCAGAGTGCTCAACATGACAAGATGGAGTCCAAAATTACTCTCCGGCAACTGAAGATCAAGCAAGAGGCTCTCGATGAATTAAAGATGGCTCTCTCTTCTCCCAAGTCGACTACACTTGTTGCCAGTTGGTGCACTAATTTAGAGGAAGCCAAGCTGAAGAATGTTGAGTTGGAAGAAAAGGTTCAGACTCTTGAGGAGAACCAAGCTTTAAGTCAGGCAAGATTGGAAGGGAAAGAGAGAAGACTTGCAGAAGTACAAACACAGCTCTTGAGCCTGGAGAAGCTGTGGATGGATGAGCAACTGTTGTGGGATGAACGAGAGGTTGAATTAACTCGAGCCCTTGAGAAACATGAGACAAGACATAAAGCAGCTGCCCTGGACCTTAAAACTCTAGGCTTTCATGAACTGCCTGACACTACACTTCCTATATCAAAGCAGTTAGAAGAGGCTTTAGATTCATTACGAAATAAAGTGACATTCCTGGAAAAAGCTGAAATGGAACTAGAAAAATTTAGAAATGAAGTTGAGACTATCCGGAAAGATTTAAGGGAAAAGGAAATAGCAGTTATAGCAAGAGATAAGATTATTAATGAATTAAGAATAATTGGAAGCAATTTAAAGGTTCCAGTGGTGAGGTCAGAGGCAGCACAAGATGTGACAGATCAGGTGAAATCTAAGTCACTGATGCCTGAAGAAGAAAGTATAAAGATTGTGATTGAAGGCTTGAAAGAGCGTCTCCACATGAGTCAACATACAGTAAATCATTATCAAGATCTCTTGGCAAAAGCGCATGAAGAGAAACAAGATCTTGCTGCTAGAAACAGGGATGAATTTCTCCGTGTGACCCGAGAGTGTGATGAAGCAGTTTTAAGAGCTCGGGAGTTACAGTCCCAGCTCGATTCAATCCCGACCCGTGATCGAGGCTCATCGGCTTTAAGTGAAGCACAAGCAGCACAAATTCAGAGTTTGGAGGAAACTATCAAAGTTATTGAGGTACAGTTGGATGATGCCAAAAGTCAGTTAATTGTCTTGGAGAGGAAGGCAGTACAGTTAGAACGTGATTTGACAATTGCTCGTCGTGAACATGCAGAAGAAAGAGAGCACCTGGAAGTATCCGCCCAATTGCGAGTACAGCAGCATCAACGTGAAACAGACAGACTTTCTGGAGAACTTAATAAGATACGTTGCGAAAGGGATAATTTACGCGAAGAGGTAGCCATTCTTCAAGAATCGGCTTCTCGTAAACCGTCTGCCATTCTCAGAACTCTGGTGGAGAAGTTACGGGATCAGCTTATTGAGAAAGAGAAACAAGTCTCTAAACTTACAATGGCTGTGCAAGACATGAAGGAAAGAATATCACAAAACCAAATGAAAGATGAAGGAATAGATCTCGTCAGTGTTGAAAAAGAAGTGTCTCAGGCCACCAACAAGCTCACTGAATCATTCAACATAGAGCTTGAGAAAATTTCAGCTGCCAAGGATGATCTGGAACATAAACTACATAATCAAATACTCTCCTTAACTGCTGAAAAAGACAAAATATCTGCAGAAGTCGACACTTTGAATGAAGAAATCAAAATTTTGAAAGGAGAATCTTTGAGAACTGAGAAGCAGCTTTTACAGCAGAAGAGATTTAATAATGCTCTTAAGCAGAAACTGGAAGATTTAGAAGGTAAATCGCCTCTAGCAATAACCAGAGCAATTGAGAGCTTGCAAGAAAAGCTAAAGAAAATGGATGCAGCTGCAGAAATAGAGGAAAATGAGATCCGTAAAGCTAAAAGCCAAGAACAAATTGTGAGGTGGGAAGAGCGGAAGAAACTCCAAGGTGTTATTGATAAGTTAAAGGCCAGAGTGAAGGAGCTGGAAACAACACATGATGTTCATTTGAAGAAACTTGAGACAAGTCAAGATCTTTTGAGCAAAGTAGAAACAGAAAAGCTGTCATTGCAGTTTAAGCTGAATAACTTAAGTAAGGTATCTACTGAGAAAATGTGTGGTGTTTGTCTGAAAACTTTAAATACATTAGACTCAAGGAGAGGGAGCCTTGTCCAAGAGGGATCTTCACCAGCACACAGTAGCCAGACTGTAAGAGCTAGTAGGACTGTAAAGCAAAATAGAGTCAACCCTTCACCTGAGAGGGTCCCTGTAAAGGCAGACATAGGGGATGTACAGAGAGACAAGGCAAAGAGCCCTTTAGTGTCCAGAAGATCACAGTCTGAACAGGATGACAGTGAAATGAGGTTTCGAATTCAGCTGAAAAAGGCTTTAGAAGAGAAGCACAGCTTAGAATTTAGGCTTAAAGGTGCGCTAGAAGAAATTTATGTTCTTAGAAATCAGTTACAACAAAAAGAGGAGGAGGAAGAGAAACTGATAGCTGAGAGGAAAGGCCCCGCAGCACGTCGTGTAGGTGGGGCAGCAGTGGTACTCGAGTACGAGTCTCGTGTAAGAACTCTAGAAGACGAATTACGACAAAAAACACGTCTTCTTGCCCATGTAAAGGAGGTAGTTCGTGAGGCTGCCAATAGAGAAGAATCCCTACTAGAGGAAAAAGGAATATTGCTCCAGAAAGTGACACTGTTGGAGAGTATATCAGAGGACACCCCAGCTGCCCGTCTTGTTCATGAACTAAGGCAGGCAAAACTTACCATTACCAGACTACAAAGACTACTTGACAATATCCAAGGGAACTCTTAATTTATTGGGAAAATAAAAAGAATTATCGTACAGTATTACTAGATCAGGAGTAACTAATTTAAATTAATGTAATAATTACAAGAATTTGTTACACCTAAGGTAAAAAACTTGGTGAAGATACAAAGAATACTGTAATGACATTAATGATAACTACAAGGTAGTTTCTGGGTCAAGGGAACTGGTAATTGATAAAGTGCAGTTTGACAGGCATATTGTTGTGTCACTGAGGAATTGCTTGTGATAAGTCTCCTGGTTGAATGATACCAGTGCACAAAAAATAGTTCCTGATTAACTGGAATACTAATATTTATCTTGCTTCAAAACATATTAATTCTGGGCTGTAAATTGTAGCTAAGTATTTTATTTATAGTTTATATAAGAAACTGAAATTGGTAAGAATATAAATTTGCTCAAGATGACTAAATATATTTTCTTTAAAAAATTGAAGAACATAAATTTAAATGGTATGTTAAAAATTATTATATTTAGACTTAAAAATTATATGGCTACAGTAAGTTAGTGAAGGAGAATATATAAATTTCCAAAGAACTGTCGAGTATTTTCATTTGAAACAGATACAGTACAGCTTTATTTACACACAGTTACAGAAGGTACAAAATATTATGTAATGAGCATTTGTATCTTTTATACTATACAATATAGGAAATAAGAATTTACTCTACTGTTGACTGGATGTTTGGTTTTTATGAATATGAAATTATTGGAACTTTTATATCAAGCCTTATTTAAGTTTTATTATATAATTTATTTCATCCATTTAGAAAAAAAAATTAGTTGAAGGTAAAAGAATCTTCATCATATGTGTATTAAATGTGTTTCTGAGGTTGTGTACACTCGCTCCAAAAAGTGTCTTTACAGAGGAGTCTGATGAATTTCAAAATGAACACTGCAACTTGTTGTCCTGATAAGGTTGTCAAAATCCTTCGTCTGATGTTTCATATTGTCTAGCACTAACTTGTAAAGATACTTTTTGGAGTTAGTGTACTGTACATCAAGTCCTATATTCTAAGGCAGTGTATAGAGATTAGAGAATTGTGTATTGTACAATATTTGGTAATTTTGTCTTTTGCACAGAGTTAAAGCAGACCTCTGTACCTCACTCTCATTTTAAAGATAGGCCAGTTGCCCATCTTCAAGTGTTGTCGCACAGTTTGCAGTGTAATGATCATTATTTTACCACACTGATAACATGTTTGAGAAGTTCAGGCACTCTCCCACCCATCATCTAAATCTAAGGCTCGCTACACATGCTCAGTTTTTCACTCCAAATTAACTGGGCAAATCACAACTGTACAGTTAATCCAACACCCCGCAAGTGCATCTACACAGTGCAGTTTTTCGGTAAGTTTTATCCACAGTACGTCATGGATGTATGTGACAAGATCTGCTCTTGGCCATTGTGGTTTTAGCTTGAACTACGAAAAATAGGAGAAAAATGAGATCAATCAAGAAGGCGTGGTGTAAAAAAAGCAATTTTTCATTTGAATTTGTTGGAGGAACTCAAATTAGAGACCACTGATTGTTACAGCTACCTTCGTATGACAGAAGAAAACTACCCGGTATTTACACTTATTATCCCTGGTTGCATGTGGAAAGCCATTAGTCCCAACTAACATCTGACAGGTACTCTCAGGTTTCTAGCAACAGGAAGATCTTATAATGATCAGCAGTACACAAAAGCAATGTCACCACAAGTGCTGAGTGCAGTTATACCTGAGACTTGCAGAGCTATTTATACAGTATTAAAGGACACATTTCATGGCATGATATTTATTTGAAACATTACAAATCTTTAGATCTTCTACTGTACTCAGTATTGAACAAAGGCTTTCTTTCCTTCAGTGAATGAATACATGGCAAGTGAAAATAATTAATAAAGACTTGATTGAATAATATGTAGCTAAAACAGTATAGCCTTTTTTGCCACAAGTTGAAAATGATGTGTACTGTACATATATAATGGAAAATTACGTTTTTATAACGTATTACAGGATTACATCTTGTAAGATGGCATATTAGAGGGTTTCTTATAGATGGCTGGAGGGGAAGTCATGGGAAAGGCTTCTGTGTAGGCATTTACTCGGGACTGAGTTGTAGATCAGTGATGTGGGATTTTGAGAATTATTTTGGCTGTTCTGCATAGTTAGTCTGCATTCTGTATTGATATTTCCCAATTCAGCCTTAAACAAATGTTCATTGATAAGTCTTTCTGCATAGATTAGTTGGTCTCGGGAAAGAAATCTTAATTTTGAAGTTATTGAATGTGTTTTCTGTCAATGTCATTAGCATCTTCAGTCTTGCCAGATTGGGGATGTTCGGCTACTAAGCTGACCCGTAGTACTGTGTTGGTAGGATCATCCTTTCACTTTTTTCGAGGTTTTCTTTATTCTCCTGATGTGTCCGGTGACTGCACTGATTGAGCGTGTGTAGTGGGCCTAAGACAGAAAGCGTGAACTCTGCATTACTTCCCTGATGGGAGCTGTAATGCTTCTGCCTTACACAGGATGTATGGGGGTGCCCAGTAAACTAGCCCCTGAAGTGCATGGGGCGAATGTGAAAAGTTTGTAATTTGGTTGAAAACTGTAATCAGTACAGTATTATGTATTTGAGTTTAAGAATTTTTGCAGTGTTCTTCAAATATGTGTGACCCTTACAGTTTTCTCTGTTTTTTGTAATAATAATTAAAAGGTCAGTATTTCCTTGTACTTTTTGTATTGTGTGTGTGCATGTGTTGGTGGTGAGTAAAGTATATGTCAGCCGAAAAGTTTGGGACCAAGACGCTTCTATAAATGGATAATTACAAAAAGTGGGTACTAACCTGTACATGTGTCCAAGGAAAGTACCGTATGTAATAAACCATAGTACAATACTGTCTTGTGTTGGTTTGATTGTTAGTTTCTGCAAATACCTGTACATTAATGTACTGCATTATTCTCTAATACTCTTGGTGTTATCAAGTCTATACATAAACATTCTGTGTATGATAAGTTTCCTACAATCGGTATACAATACTGTATAACATACTGCACTCCTCAAACTCTTATGAAGACAAGTAGATTCGCCACTTACATTACCACCCAGTTACTGAGCCAGTTGCCTGAGGATTACATTTTTCTTCATTTACTCTCATGTAATGCCTGTACTGTACTGAATGTGGATAATTAAAATACAGTATTCTACAGCACAATATAGTACAGTATTGTATATAGTATTCTTAAATTTAATTTTTATGATGCTCAAACCTTTTGTAAAATACACTAGTAGATAATTTCATAAAGTAGATTTTCGGTTGATAGATACTTTATTTTTTTACATCTAGTTTAGAACACCAGTACAGTATGTTGATGGATGCCAAATTTTTTGATAATTTTTAAGGAATCTCAGAATGTTGGGTACAAAACATCCATCCAGTACGTGATAGCTGACTAGTCGTTAATTACATGCTTGAATACAATAAAAGTTGGATTTTGTGAATTTTTTTTCCTTGCCATTAGTTTTCCTGTAGGAATTGAAGCTTGTTAATTGAATGAAGTTACAAGTGTGAGGTATACTGTACAGTATGTGGTCACTTGGATGAAGTACACATGCAGCATATACAGGAGTACAAGAGCAAGTGTAGATTTATTTACAAATTACAAATACAGTTTTGTGCCTTAACTGATAAGGGTGTGCTTCAGTGAACAGATTTAACTATAACACTTGTCTGAGGTTTCCTGCACTTCTTATTTGTTAAGAAATAATCCCTTGTGCTGATAGTTTGTGCCTTAACAGATTCCTATCTTAAAGGCTACTTAACTTAGTGATTTAGTTGGTGGTACAGCATAGTGCTCTTGCCTCACAAATCTGTATCCCGGCTTCAGTCCTCAGCCTGGATCAAATGTGAGAAGGGTGTTATCCAGTGTGACCTTACCAAACATTGCAGGTTTTCTCCAGCTTCCTCCTGTTTTAACCCTTTGGATGCGACATGCGGGTAAACCCGCCCAAAATATTATATTAATTAAATGCGACAAGCGGGGATATCCCACGGCCTTGAAAAAACTTCCCCAAATGAGACGACATGCGGACATATTATGTATTGAGGTATAGGAGTATTTCCTGAATGCAATATAGCTTATTTTTGTACTATTTTGTTTGATATTATCTGAATATGTAATACATATCTAAATTTGCTGTTTAGTAACCAAATTGATTAAATTTATTTGCCATATACCAGACATTGATTTATACCAATTTCCTGCATTTTTGGGTATAAATGTCATTTTTTCTCTAAAATTTGCACACATATGTGAATTTTTGTTCCAGATTTGGAAAATATACTAAAAGTTCTCTAGGAAAAACATATAGAAAATGTGATTATATGAAATTCATTTTTGGCAGGATAATTGACACTTTTCAGGAACCGGCGCGAAATTTAATTACGCACCTAAAGAGTTAAA